TCATCAATTTGATGCCGATGACTATGCTCTGATCAGTGCCACACAGCATTTGCATAATCTGGCGGGTATATCGGGCAATACGTTCATGGATCTATCACGCAACACGCCCAATTTGTCGCTGAATTCCAACACCTCCTCGCTGGCGCAGCGCAATTCAACATTCTATGTGGATCTGCCAGCAGCAGCACTCCCGGGTACTACTACTGCTACTGCAACACGCTCCGATGCTGGGCGGGATGACGACGGCCAAGAGTTCGGCCTACGCCAGCAGGGACGTTACGAATCGATTGACACATTTTCGGATATTTCAGATCTGGGAGCGGCACGAATGACTCCGCCGCCGGGAGCGACTGCTGGAGCAGCCTCAGCTTCCGCGGCTGCTGCTGCTGCAGCCGATAAAATGCTTCTGAATGTCGAGACTATATCGAATTTCTCACAGATCAGTGACCTGGTTGCTGCCACGCGACTGGAGCGTGCCGACTCGAATGCCACGGATTCGAGAAGCCTGGGCAGCCTCGGCTATCTGCTCGACCAGCCCGATGAGGGGGCCTCGGGCTCGCATCAGACCATTCCGCATTTGCGCAAGGAGAACTTCCAGCTGCTGTGGCGCAGCATTATCGAGATCATGGGCTGTGTGCAGGACGAGGAGATGCGAATGGCATGTAAGTGATGCCACATGTCCCCAGTAATCGGTTGCATTGTAAGGCTCTTTTTGTTTACAGATGAGAATCTGCTGGAACTGGGAAACAGCAACATCAAAAAGGAACCCAGCCTAGAGAGCTTTACCCAACTCAATTTGGGCGGCAGCGGCGATGAGGTAAGCAGTCCTTAATCCCACCCAAACTGTGACTAAACTGAAGGTCATTCCCTTGTATAAATGTGTTCTACAGCAACCGGATAGCAATGGCAACCCCACAACGCCCGCAGCAGAGCACAGCAGCACCACCCGTCTATTTGTGGCACTCGAGGAGGAGCTCCGTCAGGCCAGCGGGAAGCCCAGCAGCAGCAGGGGTAGCAGCAGTAGCAGCACAAACACCTCCGAGGCCTGGCACATATCCATCAATCAATTTATAGCCACGGTTCTCACCGTGAATACCATTGTACAAGGTTTCCAAACACCCATCCAAATAACCGAACAGGTCGAACAGCTCCAGAAGAAGCGACGCAAATGTCTATCCACCAATTACTAAATTCCAGCCCCGCCATCAGTCCTGTCCCCCGCCCCATCCCAGTACAATAATCCCTGCTACCAAATCCTAGCCGGAAATCTGTATTAACACCCCCTCCGCTCGATCTATCTACCTTTGTGCAATGTGGTAGGCTTTTAATCGTATCCATGTTTTGTGTATGTATATTGTACTCGTATTGCCTCTACCTTAAATTAAGACAATTGTTTGTGAATATAATTCTATTATTCCTATTATCAAAAACGAGGTTTACGTGTGTGTCTGTATGTACATTCTACATATCCATGGCTACCTGTTGCTGCTGTTCGATTCTCCTGTTCGCCGCCACCTGTTGGCGCTCGTTCTCCGCCGTGCGCACCAGGCACTCCTCGTAGGTCCACTTGGGAAAGACCCGCTTATACAGATACATGAAGGCCGTGTCGTAGGATCGCAGCTGTCCATCGAAGTAGCACTTCATGTGGCCATGCGTACCCAGCGACTCCTTGATGTGGCCCAATCGTCCGCATTTGGTCCTTAGTTTAACGGGCTTGAAGTACTCGACATCCTCCTTGTAGAAGAACATGTAGCGTATCGTGGCCGATTTGCGATTGATGCGCATGGGGTGGCCACTGAGGACGACGCGCTTGAGCACGATGCGATCTGGATTACACGAGATGAGGCGTCCGCGGGCCACCAAGGCCAGCGTCGAGTCGGGATTCACTTTGAATGCCAGCACAGCGGAGGGAGGGAACTGAATCGGTGCATAAAAGGTGGCGCAGACTGTCTCATACGGACGGAAGTAGCGCTCAAACTGCAAATAAATTCAACCATTGGCAGGGATTCATATGGAGATCATAGAGTGCGTCTCTCACCTTGTGCTTGTCGCCGTTGGTGTGTTGGCTGTAAATAGGATTGACCACAAAGCGGCGATAGCCACACTGTACAATCAGCTCCTCCTTGGATTTGAGGGGAACCTCAGAGTCGGGCATGCGCTGCAGCACGACATTCATCACGCACATCTGATGCTCGTGCGGCAGCATGCCATACACAATGATGTTGTCGGTGAGCTGGGCGGACTTGAAGGCGGCCCAACGGCTGGCGGGCACATTGATCACATGGAGCGTGATGTAGAGACCAGGCTGCAAAGAAGAAACTCGAGATTAGAAGGGACTCCAAAGCGGGATATCAGAATACGAAGCTTACCAAAATACCGTCGAAATCCTTGGCTTCGGCCAGAACCCTCCTTTTGGTGCGGTCGAAATTCTTGAATTGGTAAATGCGAGAATAGTCGCTGGGCAGATTCTCCTTGGCATCCCATGGCGAAGTCCTGAAGGACTCTAGGCCACGGTACTTCTGGAATCGCTCGTGGGCGGGTACATCCAGCGGCGTGTCTATCTCATCGGGCCAGAGCTGATCTGTGCGTGCTTGCTGCAGTTTTTGCATGGTTTCGCGCTCCTCCTGGAAGTCCATCTGCTGGTCGTATTTTTCGTCGTTGACGGCTGCCTCCGATGACACTGAAACGCTGTCCTGGAACTCCTCCGTATCGGAGTCGCGTTTCTCGCATTCATCCTCGAAGGATTTGTTGTCACAGGACATGAAGTCCTCGTCATCTTCAGCTTCCTCATCATCGTCGCTCATGTCCTCGTCGTCTTCCTCCTTGTCTGGATCCTCTACCTCTTCGATGTCGGGTATCCAGGCCGCTTGGTACTCGCTGAAGCCCTTGGGCACTCGCTTAACCAGCTTCATCTTTTTGGTTTCCTTTTGGGAGGCCTCGATCTCCTCCTCGGTGGGCCACGTCTGCTCTGCGTCCATGGGATCGGGGATGTTCTCGCTCTGCAGCGAGGTGCGCTTCAGGGGATCACTGATATCAAGGAGTCGCACTGCCACATTTTCTCCATCGCGAGACTTGTCCAGCTTGTACGGATCTGGCGGGGCAACCACTTGACCCACCTGGAAGTCACCCAGCCCGGGAATATGCACCAGTCCATTGACATTCAGCGACTGTCCACGCAGGAAGCCAGTCACCTCCAGCGTGCCCAAATCATCGCTCGCCTCGCCATTGGGCTTAAACTCCACAATGTCACCGAAGAGATGCGGCCGATTCTCCACGTTGTGCAGAATGCGCTTCTTCTGTCCTCCGATGCGACGCATCACGTTCAGTCCCTCGGCGGCGGTGTCCAACTGCATGAGCTTCTCCTCGGGCAGCAGTTTGGAGATGATTTTCTGTGCTGCCTGCTTGCTGGCAGGACGACGCTTGGGATTCAGTGACTCCAGATCCATGAGAGCCACCAGGGGAGTGGGTATCCCTTGGGCGGAGATCATGTTGAAAATGCGCTGGCCCCAGCGGTCAAATATCTCGTCGTCCCCAAAGGAGGCCGATGTCAGAAGGAGCGTTGTATCGCATACCTTGAGGTAGTCCAGGACAATCAGTTCGTTGCCGCGTCCCACGGGTGGGGTGACAAAGGCGAATCGCTGCTTGAAACGCGGAAGATTCATGTAGGTAATCCCACTCGGAGATCTCTCCACCACCAGCTCGCTGTCGCAGCCCTCGAGGATGGCCAGGGCCGACTTGGGATCGATCTGCTCGTGCATAGGCAGCAGACACACCAGGAACGGAGCCGTGTTCTGGCCCCCAAGCTTCCGCTTCTGCTCCAGCACCTCATCGCGTTTGTTCTTTCGCAGTTGATTTTGCTGGTTGCGTCGCTGCTCCCTGCGCTGCTGCTGCTTGTGCCGGTGCGAGATGGCCTTAAACCCGATTTTGCCTGCGAGAATAATAGTTTTAAAGAGTTTGTTTTCCGGATTCGCACTTGTGGAGCATCCCTACCTTTTGTTGCATTCTCGATGGCTCCCTTGGAGCGATGACGGCCCGTTTTGTGGACCTTATTGGTTTGCTTCAGCGGCCCCGGTCTATGGAACGCGTGATCCGCCATGGTTACAGGTACTTTATCAAAGAAATTTCAATAAATTTACGCTGTTTTGGTTTTTTGCACGTGTTACCAGCAGTGTGACCGCGGATTTATGGATAGAATATACCGTCCAAACCTCAGAAATATACCAAAATATAAGAAAATATACCGTCTTATTTGAAAAATATACCGTAAATATACTGACGAATTCAAGTTCTATTATACATATTCCCCGTTTTTGATATTATTATTGCTAGCTAGATAGACATTAATGAACCTATTTGAACCAACTTGACTGACTTGTTTAATATAACTTCTTTTATTGGACTTTGCCTAAAAAAATGTTTTAGTTTAAAGGGTCAAACAAAAAATACGACAGAGAACTGTCGATCGTATTGCTCAATTTTGATATTCCGTTAAAAAAATTCTGGCTAACTAAAGTCTTTAGCCCTGCCCACATAGTTTTATCCCATTGATGAAGAAATTTTCTACATGATAAACTATATTTTAGTACTCCCATTTATTGTATTTTGACTAAAACACGGTTTAAACAAAAAAGTTAAACAAAAGTGAGTATGGAATGAAGGGAAAAGTCACTCCACGAAGGGAGGATATCCCATCACAAATCCCAAAAAAAGAGAGCAAGTCCGATCAAACTTGAGCGCCAAAAAGAAATTGTTTGAAAGTGAATGCGCGACAAGGACTTAAATGCAATAAATAAATTATGCACGAAAGCACGATGATCTCACATCTCAGGGAAAAATTCGAAAAACCTGCATATGAAAGTTTCGGTATCCTTTGTTCTTAATTATACCAATATAGCAACACTTAGCAGCGTTTAACAGCACACTGAGAGTATTTTTAACAGCATTTGAGTCTGCGGCCCAATTTGAATTTGAAATAAAAACACTCCACTTTCTAGTTTTCTGTTTTTTAACCACATTCAATGTAAATATGTATTTGTTGTTTATGGTATAGACATTCCGTCTGCTTGGATATAACGCTGTTTAGCTGCTATGATATAGTATGCATGCGTCGGATGCCGCTGCGGTCTGTTGTAGGAGACTATAGTTATAACTTTGATTATTTGTAACCCTCCTCTTTCTGCTTCTTCTCCTTCTCCTGCTGCTGCACTACGGCTTGCTATAGGTGTGGCATGTGGACTTAAATAGAGAGCTTCAACTAACTTAATTGCAAGGGGTATTCATTAGTGTCTGTGTAAATAATTTAAAATGCCTTCAGACATTCTTTGGTTTGGTGTGGATCTAAAAACTTAACGATAGGCCATAACAATTAAGATTTTAACATTAGAGAACCAAAAACATTTGGTAATAGGTATAATCTTTTGTTTTGTTTCTTTATAGTAGTATAGGTAAATTGAGTGATTGTATTTCTTGAATAGGATTTGGTTCCATCCATCCATCCATCCATCCATCCAGCGATCATCTCTCCGGCTGCTCCTCTCGAGGGTAATATATCTTTATGGAGCTGATGCTGATTCACGCTGGGTTCCGTTCGGTCCCTCCATTTGGCGGTCTCCCATGGACGTGCTGGACAAATCTCAATGTTGCATGATTTTGCTGCGATTACGATTACGATTACGATTACGATTTCGTGTCTTGATTCCCATTCCTAATCCGGATTGGCGATTGGTTTCTCTTAGTTGAGGACTGGAGATCATCCCTTGCTCCATTAGGGTTCCTCGTTTTTAATAAAGTACATTTATGCAATTGTATATGGATATATCATATCTGTATATAGTATATATATATGTATATATTGTTCAATAATTTATGCACTGGCCATCCTTAAAGTATGATACGAGTACGTATCTCTGCCCGTCCCGCCCCGGTTCCAAAAAAATTCCAATTTACATACAAAATGCTAACCATACCGCACATACCATGTACTCGCCCGCTCCCCTACTATCCGCTACCTTCCCGCTAGGGTCTTAAAAAATTGGTGCCAACATGTTATCCTGTCTGTAGGTGTATCTGTGGGTCGTGTTTTTCTGTATGTATCTGTATTTGTATCTGTTGTTGTGTGCGTATTTTGTGTGTTTATTAAATGCAGAAGTTCGACTTTTGCGCCCAGCTCCTGCCGCTTCCCCATCGACCTTTCCCCATTTCCCTTTGATCTGTATGCTGGCTTATTGTTTTTTCCCCCGCCCCTCCTGTTTTTGTGCTTTCCTGCTCTTCCTGCCATTCTTTTGTGCACGGGATCGGGAGGATGTGGCCGGGGAAAATTACATGTTCCTGCACTGGGCACAGACGGAGCGCGCCTTTGTATTGTCACGCACAAAATCATGCACATTGAATTTTCCATCATCGCCGTGCTCGTAGCCGCGACTCTTAAGCTGCCTGCAGGCGACAACAGAGAAAGAAAGACAGAGAGATAGAGATGTGGTGGGTGGTAGGTGGTGGGTGGTGGGTGTGTAGAAATCAGTGTAATAAATGGGAATTTCCCAGAAGAGCTCTCTTTTCACCAGGTGAAAGACTTACCTAGCAACCGCTGTAAAGGCCAGCTCCACATTGAGTCCCGTCTTGGCTGATGTCTCCATGAAAGGGACATTGTGCTCCCTGCCCAGGCGCTCGCCATCCTCCCTCTTCACCTGTCGCTCACTGCCACTGCAATCGGCCTTGTTGCCTGAATGAGTTAGAAAAGGCAAAAGCGTTGGCAAAAACAAAAGTGAATTTGGCTCAAAATTTATAAGTGGATTAGCGTTTCCGCTGGGCAAAAGCTTTCAGCTGCAGCTACAGCTGCATCTGCAGCATCCCCATCTACTCCCACGCTACACGCTCACCTATTAAAACGATGACCACGTCCTCCTGGGCGTACTCCCGTATTTCCCCCAGCCAGGCCCGTATGTTGTCGTAGGTGGTCTTGTTGGTAACATCGTACAGCAGCAGCAAAGCTTCGGTGTCGGTTTCGGTGTCCATGTCCATGTCGGTGTTGGTTTTTGTTTTAGTGTTGGTGTGGATTGCCGGTTCGCATGCAGATTGGAAAAATAATTTAATTAGGATCAAAGGGAAAGGATAATTAGACAGACTGGAGAGGAGAAGAGAAGAGGCACTCACCATGGGCATCCCGGTAGTAGGCGTGTGTAACGCTGCGGAAACGCTCCTGTCCAGCCGTGTCCCAGATCTGTAGCTTTACACGTGTGCCATCGACGACGACCACTTTGTTCTGGATTGTGCAACACGATTGTAAATGCAATTAATTATTGTTTTAAATGCACACGAACTTCGACCATGAGAATCCAATTGTTATGTAAAATGTAATTAATTCACGAAATTTTCATGCACAACAACCGTGCCCAGAATATCAAACAGAGAGACAGAGAGAGAGAGAGAGAGAGAGAGGGGAAGAGCAAGAGAGGCTGGAACACGCTGCGTATGCTTAATGCACTACGCATACGCAGCGTGTCCGTTTATGAAGACCCGAAAGCACACACATGCAGACAAATAAGTGGAGACGGGGCATCGTATTGGTATAAATATTCATAAGTAAGGGGCAGACTCAGCAATTTCCAGTTGATGAAAGCACTGATGTGGATCCACACTCCCGTAATGAGTGGCAAACATTCGGCCATTGGCAGGGCCATTGCCACTGCCACAGCCACAGCCACTCCCCCTACCTATTAGCTACTCAGACAGTCAGTCAATAGCATAAAAGATACACAGATACACAGATGAACATAGTGGTAGTACACCAAAAAGGTACGAGCATAAATATAAATGGAGGATGTTCTTTGCTGAATGTGTTGTCTGTGAGGGCAGCATATTGCCTTGATTTGATTTGATTTCAATTTCATTTTCGTTTTCGTTTTCAGACTAAAAGATAAACCAAAAACATAAATTATTCTAGCCGGGTAAACAAAATGTCAATGCACTGCCACAATTCAGCTGAAATTTGTTGATGGGAGGAATACAGACAGACACTTAAATACAAACATACATACTCATGTATGTATGTATTGATGAGGAAATATTTGGGTAAAGTGTGAGATACAATTGGATTACTAATGAAGTGAAAAACACACACACATTAAACAACATTGAAAAGTTCTTAGCTTATTTCTACGTTAATTACACATATTATCCATATATTCATAGCCATACTCATATAAAATATTCATTTACTTTATACATATGTAGCATGTACTCGGAGCCACCCTACAAGTTGGCCAAGAGTCAGCCAAGCTGAAAAATCAACATGAACAACTCCCCAGCGAATCTGATTTGGGGTTCAGGTCATTCCCCAATGCCTCCTCAAATGGGGGATGCCCATGCCCCATCCTTCTTTGGAAAGTTAGACAATGCCTGGGATCGACATACATTTAATATAGAGAAAACATGGAAACAATTTAAAGTCAAGGAAACGCCAGGCCCAGCCCTAGCTCCCATTTGCCAGGCATTTGTACAATTTTACAGGATTGTAAGTAAGAGACAGAGACAGGGATAGCTAGAGAAAGTGAAAAAATAGAGATAGAGAGACATGTTAAAAGCAATTTCCGCTTGTATTTTAATAAATTTATGAGCCATGAAACAGAGAGAGACAGAGAGAGACAGAGAGAGGGAGAAAGAGAGAGAGAGAGAGAGAGAGAGAGCAAGCCTCGGGGCAGGAAAACCTCTAAGCCTCTAAATGTTGGACCGCACAAAAACGACACAAAAACGACACAATAATAAGTATAATAAAATTACAACAACTTAAACGAGCACACAGCTAAAGATACATTTACAGAGCTGCACACAGATACAAAGATACATTTAGAGAACTGCTACGGCTACACGGGCACACAAATTCATTTGGACGAAGGAGAGGAAAAACATCAACAAGTCCTTTTCAAGTTCACATGCTTTTTAATAAATAGTCCCCCAAGGATCTTTATCAGAAAGACGCCCGACCTGCAGCGCAGACACACACACATAAACGAGACAACAAACAGAGGGTTACAGGGATTCCTGGTGCTGGACCTGGGATTGGGATGGGGATTCTGTGGTACTGAAAGATAAGGTTTGAACAAGAACTAAACGTAAAGAGGACAACCGCAGGCAGTACTACGAAATCAGGAAAACCGCAACTCATAGAGGAGGTCACGCAGAGGGACAGAGACAGAGAGAGAGAAGCGGGTGGGGGGGGCGGAAAGTTACACAGAGTGAGTGAGAGGTAAGCAGGTGAAAATCGCATTGAAAGCCTTGACAACTGTTGACAGGAGACACACACACAGTGGGAGAAAGAGCAGAAGAAAGACGTTAGAGTAGGAGGATAGATGGATGGATGGATGGATGGATGGATGTTTAACACAGAGTAACAGTAGGACAGAAGGAGAGACAACACTTAGAATGAACAACAATTACAACAACGAGAACAAGAACAACAGAAAACCAAGAACAACAAGAAAACCAAAGACTTTTGGGAATAAAGCGCTCTTACCCTAAAATCAATGCCAACGGTGCTCAGGAAATAGCTGGGCACATAGCGACCATCGCGGAATCGTATCAAAAGCGATGTCTTGCCCACTCCCGAGTCGCCCAGCATAATGACCTATGTAATCCGCATCCGACAACAGCCAAAAACAGCATGATATGATATGTGTAAGAGGTAGAGTATTTAAATGATTATGTACTATACATGGAGATGAGTGCCTCTTTCTGTGGTCTCATTTTCTTTACTTATGCTAAATATTAGATGAGATGAGCTGGGTATGGGTATACGAAATGAGGCAGGGCATGGCAGGGCATGGCAGGGCATCACAGCACATCCAGAAATCCTCTCGTTGTTGACTTTCATTTTGGAAAAACGTTTCGGGGAAACTGGATGTTAGCTTAGTTATCTAAACACTGCAATTGCTGATTTGCCTGGGAAAAATAATATTTGCCACGAGCTGCGGTTCAGGGAAAATTTCTCTGCCACAAACAAAAACACAGTTTTCTCAGAAACTATTTTCGTGGGAATATACTTAGAGAAATATTCTGGAATTACTGCTTTCAATGCCATTCCTAGCTCTCATTTAGCTCAATTTAAATGAGGCTTCAAGTTGCCCTTGGCAATCTACATACATATGTACACTCCTGCCCTCTAACGAGCATTCCTCGCAAATAAATGGAAATTTGTATGCAGCTCTCTCTCATTATATTGTATACACTATATACATATATATGTATATATTTTACTCCCCAGACATTTCTTGGCAGCTGTGTGACAGGAAGTCGCCGGCAGGAGTTCTGTCATAATTTTCCAGAATTACTCTAATCAACAGCAGCTGCAGAAGAAACTTTCTCTCAGCGACTCGGCGACTCAGCGACTCAGCGCCTCAGTCTCGCTCGTCTCGGAGGCTGGCTGTCTGGCTGTTTGCTTTAACAACTTTTCATTTTTTGCGTTTAATTTCCTTTGTCACTTGGCACTTTATTGAGTTTTATGACTTTATTTTGCTGGCTGCTTATGTAAATCACATTGTAAATCAGGCCAAAGCCGATCAGGGCCAGGACGAATATAAAAGCCAGCAGCTCGTAAAAGAGCCCAAATCAGACAGGCAGCAAAGGCTGGCTGCCGTCAAATAAAAAGGTATAATACATAAATCAAATTGTGGCTGGGCTCCTTAAACTGCCTTTGTTGTCGGCGCTTTTTGTGCATGCAAATTGGCATTTGTCGCATTGAATCGAGAGAAAGGATTTTATTCTGGGAAAGGATTCTGCACCTGCAGAACTCCATTTGGCTTTTCGCTCGAATTTTATTTGGATGGATAAATGGCGTTTGGCTAATTCCCAATTTGGGCCTCCCTTCCGCTTATTCACCTTGCCCATGATGTCAAAGTCCTCGTCCTCATCCGGTCCGTTGCCGGATGAAATCATGCGTATGAGTGCCCGTCCGGCGTTCTTGCAGAGGGTGGCACTGGCTCCCTCGTTGCCAGGACCTGGTGCTGGTGGAGCCACAAAGGGGGCTCTGCCTGCAGCAGCAGCAGTGTCCAGGAGCGGCTGCTGTTCGGCCGAGGTCAATCGAACGCTGCTGCCCAGACGAGCCATGAAACCATTGCCACTAGGGAGATGAGGCATCTGCTGGGCCTGGAACAGGGACGATGTGGTCATGAATTCGGGCAGCAGCGGCTGCTGGGAGATCGACTGCTGTCGCTGGTGGACAATCACGCTGGGCCGCCGCTTCGGATAGCCATCGTCGTCGGAGTCGTCCGAGTTAATGCCGTTGATCTTGTCCAGCGTCTTGGGAGGCAGTTGGCCCGGGGTGATGTGCTGCCAGGTAGGCTTTACCAGTGACTCGCGGCGTGTGGGCGAGGCAGTAGCACTGGCTGCCGAAATCGAGGCCTTCCTTCCGCCCAAGGGGCTGGGGCTGGCAATGGAATCGCTGCGGTAACGGGTCTGCTGACGACGCATCTTTGAAACCTTTTCTAGGGAGCTGAGCAACGGAAGTCCTTCCTCGTCGATTGAGTGGCTTGATTCTATATTTAACACACGCACAGAAATCAATAATCTGGGTTCAACTTTCAGAGTTGCGGATACATCTTCATTACTGAGAGAGGGAACGAGACCAACCCCCAGGAGGGAATCCCCAAAGACCTTTTTAAGTTTGTTTAGGTCGCAAATGTACAAGCACACTCACACACAGCACACACAATCCTCTATATTTTACATAGTACTATATACAGTATAGTATATACAATATTTGTATCTTTTGGAAGATCCAACAAAGTCATTAAAACTCATTAAAAACCATAAACAAGCAACGAGCAAAGAGCAAACTTTCATTATCCTCCTCGCAGAAATAATTCCTTTAAAAAAATAAATTAAAATTCAAATTTACTTCTCACTGTACGTTCCCCAGACCTCTTTACACTGCCCCTAATAAAACAGTGAACGAACAGGTGCAAATTGAATGTAATTTTTTTGGGGCCCGTCTCTGTGTGGCACCTTCGACGCACGCAAAATGAAAGGAAGACCGAAGCCCAGAAATGCTTAAGGGCACCACGCAACTGTCGCTGACAACAAGCCGCTATGGGTGTATGGTTGTATGGTTGTATGTGTGTATGTGTGTATGGGCATGAGTGCGAGTGGGGGTGGAGCGGCAGTGGTCAGAGGTGCGGGTGGCTGTTGTGGTTTCGTCGCTAAATCAACAGTTGGCAAGAAAGACCGCAGCCCAACAACCAGGCGCGAAAACCGCCGACGACGATGGAAGGCGAAACAGGACGGAGCAGAATGGACCGGAACGCATCGAAGCGAAGCCGTGGCCAACTAAATTTTCGACTAATTATGCCTTGTGGCAGCCTCAAAGCGAGGCTGGGCCAAGTGGGGTTTTCAGCGTGAGAGTACACTGCAGCCTTGGGATTAGCTGGCGCTCATTAACACCCCAAGAAATGGTCTCAAAAGTCGTAGAAGAGTCGGCTATAAAGCGATTTTATCTTCGTTCTGTTTTTCATAGCATACTTTTTGGGGCAGGGAAATTTTACCTGCAAAACAATTTTAAATCAAATTATTCTTCACTCTCCTGCACGCACAAAAATTCATTTCATTTTTGCAACGTAAAAGTTCAGAGAACTTTTATTTACTTTGACATTTCGATGTGGTGTGGTGTGGGAGCAGCAGCTCCCGAAAATGGCAACCGAAACAAATTTCGTCCCGAACTTTAATTTAATTTGCTGCCAAACAAATGTTGCCAAATGCCAATACATATACCCATATATATCAATTGAAAACCCTTTTGAAAATCCTCAGATGCACAGACGGTAACTCCGTGCGAAATTGCTCGTCCATTGTGTACGGCTGTCTGCGTCCTGTCGCCTTACCTGGGATTCAGGCGCCTGTCTCTGCCGAGCCTGAGTTTGCTTTTATTCCTCTTTGGCAGCTCCTTAAAATGTTTTTTATGGCACTGGGTGGCTGGGCGGATGACTGGCTTTTCGCCATGGGGTCCTTAAATGCAGGTCAACGGCAGCGCCGAACACGTGCGAAACGTTAACTACTTTCTGAAGGCGCATAAAGCGTTCATCGTCGTTCATCCTCCAGGAGTGGAAGTGAAGTGCCCAAGATGGAATGACAATGAAATCGGATAGCTGTCGAGTACGCCCCACCGCCCATCCCCACCCCGGGCATGTAACCATTTATTAAAGCAGAAAAAGTATACATTTACCAATTAGTTGCCCCAGCGAACTCCGATTCCTGGAACTAACTCACATTCGAGCTTCTTAAATTATATCCCAAATTCCAAATAAATTGAGAGCCTAGACAACAAACGAGCATGTACATATTTGTGCCTTTGTCCAGTGCTCCGTTCGAGTTCTCCCTTCATACTTCTACGGTTTCTTGTTCTATGCAAATATGGCAAATGATATTCGGAAAAGTTTACCCTTTTTCCTCTGGGTAGGTGTCGATCCATGAAATAACCTTTCCGGCAGCCGAACCATCTAGCAATTTACTTTAATCAACTTAAACGCAATGTTGATAACAAAAGTTTTTAATTGGGTTGTCGCTGTTCTGCTGCTCTTCGACCCCGCCGCCCCTTCCTTTCTCTTGCTGGTGACAACAGACCAAAAAAATGACAAAAAAAAGAGAAGATGAAAAAAAGGAAAAGCGAAATTTCCTTTCTCTGAGTACACGAAAATTCTGTTCAAAGCTAAAAGTTAAGCAGAATTTGGTCGCTTTTCCCTTTTATAAATTGAGTGCGCAGGAGACATGGAGAAAGTGCGAGAGAGAGGGCGGAGAATGGTGGAAATTGTGAACTGTTTGGGGCATTCGTCGTGTAATTATACAAAGCGAAAGGAGAACATTGGTGGCAAACCGTGGGGGACGGTTCATTGCACAGACAGCAAGCGATGGACGGCCCACTGCCCACACAGGACACAATGCCCAAGTAAATGTATATCCTTCCCCCTCCCCCACACACACACACACACACACACACACACAATCAGGGACACGTTCACTCACGCGGCTTAACCAGCAGCAAAGGAGCAAGCAGCAGCAGACAGGAATGCCAGACAATAGTTTCCTGATTGCATGAACAGCTTTAAGGAAATGAAAAGCGTGAAGGGAGGGAACGGCTGGACAGGACAGGCCTCCCACATACGCACACAGATTCTGAAAAGGGGAATTTCAAGTTGATGCCAGCGGAAAGCCAATCGACAGGACAAAAGCAAAATGTTTTTGCGGAAAACATTTTCAAGATCTTTCAAGTCCCTTCGGTCCTCGAACATAGCCACGACCATAATTCACTCCCACTGCAGCTTGGGAGAGAGAGAGAGGATAAAGTTCCCCCAGAGATTTGTGCTAGTAATCGGCTTAAAGGGCGGTTCAAGTGCCTACCATCCCAACCTCAGAGTTAGTCTCTGGAAATTTCGCAACGACAAGAAACAGCAGTGAGGACACCTGTGGAAATGGTTTGAGTACGGGGACCCCTCTTTGAAGTTTTCAGCAGCAGGAGAAAGTACTTTTAATTGCGAAATCGATGCACACCATTGGCAAGCCCACGCAGCCCCTAGCTCCCCATTCCATGGAAGAAGCCTTGAAAACCAGCCACAAGCTGATTAAAAGTTTCCTCAAATTGCAGCCAGACAAACAGATAGTTGGGTGGCGGGATAGGAGTCGAATGCAAGTTCGAAACTGTGACCTTCGACTGTTTGAATTGATGCGCATTTTATGGCCGTTCGCTTAATTCGTGCGCATTTAATAGAAAGAACTCGAACTCGAACTGGGACTCGGACTCGGCATCGGCATCGGCATCGGTATAGCATCGCAGACAATCTATGAATAAAACTCGATTATAATCCATTGCGTAGATGCAGTTTCAATTGATTGCAGACAAACGAGAGCCGGAAATCCGATCAACTGGATGAACAAAGATTGATTAGTTTCTGTGATGAGCTGCGTTAAGTATGGGGGCTATAATTGATGGTGGGAATGGTAGGCATACATACATAAATACATACTCGCATGTGCACAAAATTTAATTAGAATTGTTCCCACTCCACTCCACTCCAATCCATTCCACGCATAATTACGGGAACTTTCATAAACTTCCACTTTGGTCATGTCATCCATCACACATCATTGGAGATTCCCTTTGATCTCGCGAACATCAAACAGATTAACAAATTGGATGCCAACGCAAGCACCAACCACAAAACCCACAATTATTTTCACTGCATTTTAATTATTGAAAAACAAAAAAGGGAGATTTGTGTTTCTATAAAATCACATTAAATGTTTGTCTATCACAAATGATTTTCATTTATTTTTAGACGCGCTCAGACCCTTGTACATTTACATAGAGAACCCACACCACACAACACTCTCAACAGAGGCACACAGGGACGGGGGAATCGTCAAAAATAACAGAATTTCGTTTGTGGCGCGCAACAGTGGCATGCAAATGTGCAATGTTTTGCCCCCACAGCCTCCTTTCAATTGTTATGTCGAGAGCACGCCACAAACGACAACCAAAATGGCTTATGCTTTCACTTGTACTTTACTTTAAAGTTGGTTTCTCAGTCAGCAAAATGTATTTTTGGCTGAAGCGTAGCAGCTGGAGCTACAGTTTCTACAGAAAAAACTGAATGGAGAGAGAGCTTGGGATTGCGCGCCCGTTGATGCCTATCGAAGCGTCCGTTCGCAGCAGAGCTCAATGCTAGACTGAATGGAGCCCGACGACGCCAAAAAAAGGAGCAAAAAGCTGGGGAGCCTGAGCTCGAGCCCGCTACCAAAGTGTATTAAACGAAGGTGAGGCATGCCCAGAGAGCGCTCTCTGGAAGGCATCATGTGTTGTTTCCGACGCAGGGCACACGCAGAGCGAATGAGAGCATGGCCATGGGAATGCTTCACCTGATTTCAATACACACCTTGACCGAGACCTTCGCCTGCTTCGGCTGGCTTCGGCTTTGGTTTGGCAGCAGCAGCAGCAGTAGCCCTGGCCTAGAAACGTGATGCGAGCGGCGGTGGGGCGGGGGTGTGGGTGGAGCGCCCTGCAATGAAAATGAGCACCTGCAGCCTCAAAAGGAAGCGAGGGGAGGATGGGCAGCGAGAAAAAGCCAAGGCAAATGAAACGGTTGCACTTGAACTTCATTGGCGGCCTTTGCGGTGGTGGTAGCTGTTCGTGTAATGTGCTCGTGCGTGTCGCTGTCTGTCTGTCGCTGCTGTGTGGCTGTGTGTGGCTGTGTGTGGCTGTGTGTGCTCTGCGTGTCTGTGTTTCGAGTGAAAGTGAAAGGCAGCAACAGGTTCTATGTGTGTGTGGGTGTGAGTGGGTGCCAGCTGCACCCACATTTTGAGCAGGGGCAATCAACGTGTCAACAACGTGGTGGAACGGGCTGACTGGGAGTTTATAAAAATATTTACATGCCTTTGGAAAAAGAAAAAAAAAATCAATTTGAGGGATTTACGCACGAGTAGGTGTACTCGTACGGGTGGGCCTGCCGAAAATAGAAAATCCCCGGCGATTACACCAGACAATATGTTGCCTATTTAGCCGCGAAATGCTCGCATCGTATTCGTACACTCAGCGAAAGGTCAGAGCACGTTTACAATATGTATCACTCAAGTGTTGGTCATGGTATTTCCTATGGTATTTCTCTCAGTGGGGATGGGGAGATGGGCAGACTGGGAGGATTCTTGGGTAACGGTTATGCGTCCCGTAACGCCTTTGGCCAGCTGTTGTCCAATTACACACACACAGCAAGCAAAAACAGACAAAAGCGGGCTGAACCCATTCGAATGTGCGTCAATAAGGGCTGGCAGGGCAGGTTCGATTCAGATCACATGTTTCGACGGGGGTTTGGGGTCAGGTTTTGGGATGCTTCATGGGTGGGGGTGGGGGCGGGTGCTTCATGCAGCAGGCAGCGCTAAGGAGTTGCCTTAAGGCTAAGCGCAGCACTCGTGGCCACTCGGTTTCCACTCACCGTCAGAGCAATGCCCACCGTCGCCGAGAAGGAGCCCAGCCGAAATTCGCCCGTATTGTATTTGACCAGGAAGGATGTCTTGCCCACGCCAGAGTCCCCCAGCAGTATCGTCTTGTGATTGACCGTGTCGTCGAAAGGTTGCAAATTGGCCGTCGGCTGTGCTTGGTGCATGTCCACCTCGTCGTAACGATATGAACGCCAGCCATCGTCGTAATCGTCGTAATCATCTCCTGTGCCGTAGGCGTACATCTGAAGAGCTTCTCGTGAAGGTCGATAGCCCGGATATCCTGTGGCCGTCCGCTGCACGGGCGCCATAATGGCGTCGTCATGATAATGATGGCTGCTGCCCGTGAGGCTCTGTTGGCTTTGATGATGATGCGGATACTGATGATGGTGATGATGATGATGCTGCTGCTGCTGCGTCGTTGTTGCGGATGTGGAAGCTGCCACTGTGGCTGATATTGAGACGGGTGCGGCGGGGGGATTGTAACAGCCATCGCCAAAGGGCCGGCGACGCAACTCCTCGATGCGGGCCTGTGTGGTCTCCACATCTTCGAAGACGTCGTCGCTCATGCTGCTGGCATCGTCGTGGTGTGTTGCTGTAGCCGTTCCCGTTCCCGTTATCCCCGTTGCTGCTGTTGCGGCCATTTTGGAGTGGGGCTTGTGTCTTGGGACAAGCTTTAATCCTGAGCTTTCCTCGATGTCCTTATGGTTGTAACATTTGATTGATGTCTTTGAGCTTTTTTAAATTCCGTTGTGCTTTCACGCTCTCTCTCTCTCTCTCTTTCCGTTCTCTCTCTTTCTTTCGCGCTTATTCTCTCTTTATGACTTTGACATTTGCCTTTCTAACCGTCCCGTCCGGCTGTTTGTGTGGCACGTTTTCTGAATGAATTTCTGGTTGTCGGGCTTTCAGCGCCGTGGAGGGGGGCGTTGCTATTATTATTCTCTATTTCTATTCGCAAATAAGCTTTATATTTTCGCTATCCTTATCAGTAGTGTGTCTAGATTCCCTAATCGTTATTCGTTAGTTATAGTTAGTTATTCGTTCTATACAATTGAACTACATAAGTATTGGTTTTTCCTTGCGGTTGGTTGCTTGGTTTGGTGTTTCGTTTAAAGCCACTAATTAGTAGTATCTATGTACTATGTTTGTATATAAATTGTAACTAGCTAAACATATTGACTATCATTTGTAGGTTATGCGCTAATTGGTGCTTGGTTTTCACTATTCATTTATGTTTTATCATTAATAATTATTTGCAACGTTTTGCTTGGTGTTTTTTTTTTTTGGTTAAAGCTTTTTGTTGGTTTGGTTTGGTTTTATTAGTTTAATTTAATTCATTTAATTGGTTTTCCTTCTCTCTGCTCTGCGAAAATATTGCGTTTGATTCGTGACTTTGGTGTTGTTCTTGTTGTTGGTGTTGTTATTTCACTATCACAGCATAAATAAAATAATGTCATCGTCGTTGCCGTTGCCGTTTGCCGTCCATGTCGCGCTCTTGCCCCCGCCACGCGAACCCGAACCCCAAAAACCCCAACACAATAGTAAAAAAAATATCTGCAGTCTCCAGTGTTACAGTTCCGTTCCTTTCGATTGCTGTCCTGAGCTTTTGCTTTCGTTCCTCTCTCTCTCTCTCTCTCTTTCACCCTTTTCGTGGTGAGCTCGCTCTCTTTATTACTTTGACATTTCAAGATGGACCGTTCTGAACCGAACTGGTTCTTTTCCATAGATGGCGCCAAATTCTGTTCGGTCGTGTTACTTTGTACACAGTTCAATAACAATGAGTCCTTGAAATTATAGAGTCATATAGAAACTTTAATCACTAATTGGATAAAAATATGTGGGCATGTCTAAATATTCTATATAGCTAGTAATATTCCACGGAATATCAAAAACGAGGAATATGTAAAATAGAACTTGAATTCGTCAGTATATTTACGGTATATTTTTTTAATGAGTCGGTATATTTTGGTATATGTATAAGGGTCGGATGGTATATTTTAAAGATATATCCGCGGTCACACTGCTTCGGTGCTGAAAATAAAAAAAATAAAAAACATTTTTACTGAATCAAACGCATGTAAAAGCCAAACAATTTTAATAATCACCTCACGTGAAACAAACATCAAAGTGTAATCTAAGGAAAAATGACTGGCCGCGGAAAGGGAGCCAAGGGAAAAGTGGTGCGCGAAAATGTCCAGGATGATATGGACGATTTTCTCGTCTACGCTGCTGAGAAAATTATCCAAAAGCGCACTAGAAAGGTGAGAGCGTGTAAAAAATAGCAATATATGCAACTAATTCCAGATGCAGGACGCAATATGCGCAGCACACAAATTACAAGGTCACATGTCCTTCGGATATTTTTGGCAGAGGACATCTGCTGCAGCAACCACCATTTGCGCGTTGCATGTGTTTGTGCGTGAGTGTGTGCAACTGTGTAAGTGTGTGGCATGTGGCTCGTGTTTTTGTTGTTGTTGCGCTTCATTGATGGAAAATCAATTAGTTGTCTAAGACATTGCAGCTGAAAATGAAATTAGGATAACATCCCTCCATTTTTCATTTTGTAGGGGACTGTTGAGTACCGTGTGAAATGGAAGGGCTGGAACCAGCGCTATAACACCTGGGAGCCGGAGGTGAACATTCTAGACCGTCGCCTTATCGACATCTACGAGCAAAGCAACAAATCGTCTGGGACGCCATCGAAGCGCGGGCTCAAGAAGAAGGAAAAGGAGCCCGATCCAGAGCCAGAGTCCGAGGAGGATGAGTACACATTCACCGGTGATGATGTGGACACACCCCAGGCCACCACATCGAGTGCTGTCCACGAGTCGGACAAGAAGGACAAGGAAAAGAAGCACCATCACCACCATCATCACCATCACATCAAGTCCGAACGTAGCAGCAGTCGACGCTCCGAATCGCCGCTGACACACCACCACCACCATCATCATGAGTCCAAGCGCCAGCGCATGGATCATAGTTCCTCCTCGAACAGCAGTTCCACGCACAACTCGTTCGTGCCCGAGGCAGATACTAATTCATCGAGCTCGGAGGATCAGCCCTTGATTGGAACTAAGCGCAAGGCAGAGGTGCTCAAGGAATCTGGCAAAATAGGCGTAACCATCAAGACCTCTCCGGATGGACCCACACCAAAACATCCGCCACAAATCCAGTCACACGACCAGCAGGCGCAGAAAACGACGACCGATTCTTCTGCGTCCCTAAAGTCTGAACACCAGAGCACACCGCTGGGCACTGAGGTGGCATCAACGCCAGCCGAATCGGGCGCAGAGGAGGAGGAAGTGGAGGAATCTGGTGCGCAGCCGGATAACAACAATATACCAAAACTGAGCAACACTCTGAGCCTATCCCAAAAGCAGCCCCTGACTCCATTGTCGCCACGGGCTTTACCTCCGCGCTTCTGGCTGCCGGCCAAGTGCAACATATCCAACCGGGTGGTCATCACTGATGTCACAGTCAACCTGGAGACGGTCACCATACGCGAGTGCAAAACGGAACGGGGATTTTTTCGGGAGCGCGATATGAAGGGTGACTCTTCGCCAGTGGCTTGAGGTCCACCCAAACATAAGAAGAAGAGGAGCAAGCAAATGTAAATAGGGGAAACCACAAACAAAAATCCATACTAGATGTTGCTAAGCATTTTATTTTTAAACTTAACTTATTTATTGTATTTATTTATAGCGTAGAAATTAGTTTGTTATTTTATTACAATGTTTACAGTGCAGAGTGCAATTTGAGCAGTGGCCATACCCCACTCTTGCGACTGCTTAAGTTGCTATTGCAACAGATTTTACATCCTCATCATAGATTGTCAAACGAGTATATATATATATATACATATATATATTTATTTACCACATATGTATATTTTTCTATAACAATTTGAATCTGATCGAAATGACACTCATATGCAAGAAAACGCGAACTCCATGCGACACCGAAGCAATTGTTAATTACGCTTGATATAAATGTATACATACAAAAAAGCATATATATTCATATATATTCGAGTATGCCACAGTGTTTGCTCCGTTGGCTATCCCAATGTTTCATTTTATTTTATTTTTTTTATGTTATATTCTATGTATTTCCTGGCGCTGACTGATTTTTACAAAAGGAACCCCAAAAAGATATATTTACACATAGTTTGATAAATATTTTTAGAAATTAGCTAACACCAATCTATTTTAATATTTATTTTAATGTTTTCACTCGTCCAACCCCCAAGTGCTGCCTGTATGGGTTCTGTACGGTGCAGTGCACAAGACAATTCCATAATAATGCATGGAACCCATAAATGCAATACTTATCCCAAAGAATTTTTTTTTTATTTTTTTTTCCGCTTTATCAATCCCGCACAAATGAATATTTTGCGAGAGTTATGCGAAATTGCCATATTGTTGTTAATTTCGCATAGTTCTATCAGCGAACCCCTCCTGCATGCCCTTTGTGTGATCAATTTTTTGCGTAGTTTCCTTCGCGACGCTGATTCCAGAAAAACCATTCAAACCATTACACTTGAAGATTGTAATTTAGTCTTTAACTTTAATGTTATTGCCGGTATCGATTGTACATAATAAATTAAATAGAAGCAACCAAATGGTCATCAATGGGGGATCCCAATCTAAGATTGGTTTGCGTCTCAAATATCCTTCAATCAATATCAACGGAAAACTGTAAACGTAAGAGGTTTTCTCTAGTCTCTGCTGGGCTCGGTCTATTACCAAAGTATGTACAGGCATCCAGATATTTAGATATCCAAGTCCATGGGATCTCATAAGGGACGGTACTTGTTGATAAACGAATTGATGATTGGAGCCACTTTCTCTGGCTCGTTGAGATGAACGTGATGTGTGCCATCGAGTTCGTTATATTCGAATAGTGGATTCTTCCGTAGCTCCACCAAGGTAGCATCGTAGTACTCCTTTCGTTCGTAGTACGGGGCCTGCAACGCTTTAATGAATAAATGCGGGCATTTGATGCGACTCGCCATCTCCAGAGGCACTTCGTTGTGAAGGGTGTAGAAAAGCGAGGTCTTCAGTCGATTGTCGCGGGAGAAATAATACTTGTGTGGCTCGTGGGTAGATGCTTTGCAATTTCGTTGCAGCAGGTACTTGCAAGATTCCAGTGTAACGGATTTGTTGGATCCCTCGTGGAGACGCTTCTCCAACTCATCCCATTCATAGCAAGGCGGCTCGGAGCCGCTGCGTAGGCGTCGCTCTAGTTTCAATGTAGCCTCCAGTCGCTCGCTCAATCCATCTACAATGTGACGGGCACTCCGAACAGGCGGTTTAAGTACGTCCAATCCAATAAACATATCCACTTTCTCAGGAAATAGAGCGCAGAACACAAAGCCATTGATGGAACTCATTGAGTGAGCCATCATGGATATCTTATCCCAGTTGTACTCTTCCATAAGTCGACGAGTGACGAGGACGTAGTCAATGGAGTGGTAGGATATTCCTGGCGGTAGCCACGAAGACAATCCGTGGCCAGGCATATCGATGCTTAGAAAGGAGATATGGTTGGGGAGCAACGGGGCGAGGGTGTCAAATGTTCCGGCATTATCCTGCCATCCATGCATTCCCACAATAGGACGGACGTGCTTTGGCCCATACCATTTACCCGCGATGTGACCCCATGGCACGGGAATCGAAACTTCGTCAAACTGAAAGTGAAAGTCATATGAACGATGAATGAAGAAATAAATAGCTGGACACCTACGTGTTTTGTGAGGACCTTCAAGGGTCTAGTCGCTTCACTGCTTGCTTGGCGGACATTTGTTAACTTTGTTAGCAGGCGTAGATGCCTGAGGACCTCCATTTCAAGGTACGTTTGGCTCTTTCGTTTTCGTTGAATAACGTTGAACCAGACAGACAGTTGCACGTTCTTCCAGCTCGCTTCACAGTGATGTTCTGATTGTGATTTCACCACTCATGGAATGGCTATGAGACAAGTGCTTGGATGATGAACTTTGATCTGTGGCCGTCGTAATACGTAAGAATTAAGAATTTAGCAAGAATTTAAAGTTGTCATCCGTCTGGAAACTGTGAAACGATTAACAGCACTGAACACATGTATTTTACAGCACTGTGGCTTGGTTTATGCGCATAGTGCTCGTGAATTCAGTGGCTAGGTAGAACACGGAGCTAAAATGTTTCTATTCATGCACGAAATGGGTTTACTTTAGAATAACTAAAGCAGTAGGAATTTAGTTAAAATATTGAAAGTGAGTCGGACCGAATATAAGTTGCTCTAGTCAAGATCAGTTGGCAATCGAACTGATTATCAGAATTAGGCGTCTGCATAAACGTTGTGTCTGGCTCTGATTCTCCATCAACAGCTGTAGATAAGTCTTAATTTGTTATCTGTCGTACTTTCCACCTTCGTAAAAGTTCATTTTCTCACACAAATTTAGTCAAAACGGTGCAAAAACGTGAACGAATTTAGTAAGCCATAAGTCCGGGTCCTCAAAAACGACCATGGAAGCAAGGAAAGGTGAGGTTTGTTTAATTCGCAATAGCTGCCAAGGAGGCCCACCTTGACCTTTAAGACAATTGACGTGACGCCGGCATTGAGTTTTGGACCTAATATGCAAACCGCTGCCAATGCACGCACGCAATTAATTTATGTTCAAGCATTGCCCTTTATTGTTTACTTTGCCAGCGTGCCACTTTCTGCTTTTATTTGTTTTTTCGATTCCCTTTTGCCTTTTCTGCTGCTTGTGGCTAACTAATCGCGCCTAATCTCGAATGGCGCGCTGATAAGCGCCGATACTCGCTAAACTTTGGAATTAAACCTCATTTCCCATCTCGGTTTCGGTGAATTCAGTGCACAACATGGACTTCCAAGAAGACAGCTCAAGTGGCACCACTGGCAATGATCTGGGCCAACGCTATCGACATGCTGGGGACTTAACCGGCGAGCCGCCAACCAGGCCAGTAAGTGCACTTTGGCCCTTTGGGGTGTAGCTGGCATTTTTCATACAAGTTTTTGCTTACAGTTCGCAGAGATCAGCATTACTGTGCCCTGGGGACACATATCCGGAAAGTGGTACGGCCCTCAGAATGTGCAACCCATTCTGGGCCTGCACGGGTGGCAAGATAATGCGGGAACCTTTGATCTGCTGATGCCGCTGCTCTCCCCGGACGTGGCCTTTCTGTCGATCGATCTGCCCGGACATGGATTGTCTTCACGTCTGCCCGATGGCTGCTACTACAATTCTGTGGATAACCTCTATGTGATACGTCTGATCATGAAGCAATATAAGTGGGAGAAGGTGTCGCTGGTGGGACACTCCATGTCATCCATTATTTGTTTCGTGTTTGCTGCCGTCTTTCCGGACAAGGTGGATATGATCATTGGGATTGATGCTCTTAAGCCGCACCAGCGACCATATCCTTCGGTCATTCGGACCATGGAGACTCGCCTGGACGAGTTTCTGCGGGAGGATGAGCGCAATCGGAGCAAGAATGAGCCGCCCAGCTACACCTATGATGAGATTATCGAGCGCGTCTATCTTGGCACATTCCACTCGGTAAACAAGGAGCACTGCAAGCACATGATGGCCCGCAACATCCAGAAGTCTGAGAAGTACCCAGACAAGTACTTCTTCTGTCGTGATCGTCGCCTTAAGTTCTATAACTATGCCATTGGATCCCAGGAGCTGTGCGTGGAGATGGCCCATAGGATCAAGTGCCCGTATATGTTCATCAAGGCCACCCAGTCCTCGTACTTTGAGGACAAAAAGTACTACGACGAGGTGCTCGCTGTTCTGCTAAAGAAGCCCAACTTTGAGTACGTCGAGGCCAATGGCTCGCACCATGTGCATATGAACAGTCCAGAGGCCATCATTGAACCGGTCAATAGCTTCATTCAACGTTTTGGACCGGCAGCTGCGGCAGCGGAGCGCCAAAAGGCCAAGGAGGCGAAGGAGAGCAAGCTCTAGAGTATCAGTATCAGGCCATACGCCCATAGCACACACACACGCGCACGCACAATACCAAACGGGTCAAATGGGGCTTATTTATCGTTGCACAGATTGCACAGGTTTTTTTATACTTAATTGTTGATTATGTGATCGAAGCAGAAGGCTCAGCACAGCTCTGCTCTGCTCTGCACTCTGCTAAAAATATACAATGTACATATGCCGAATGGTTGTTCGCTTCCTTCCACTCGTCTCCCATTAGTGGGGAAGTTGTGAAGGATACTGTGGAACTGGTTATGCCATTGGATGCTTTGTTACAAGACTTAATGTGTGTCCACCATTTGCGGTCTATAGCTCTTGATGTAGCAGGGGTATTGCCTATTGGTGATTATGGATCAATTTAGCTTAGGCAACCTTTGTTGGGCTACCATCTTGCATGTGAACTGTGCATCACCGCCGAATGACCTACATTTTGTCGGCCTACCCCTACCCGTTGCTATAGCCACTGTAGAATCCATGCAGCGAAAGTGTTAATAACCCGCAAACCAGTTTTCCATTCCGACACCGAATCTGTGGCGTTCCCAGCCAGCAGTTGCATCATTTTCTAGACTCTTTCTTGGGTCTGCTCTGGAGGTCAAGCGTCGGATTTACATTGAAATTGCTTTTTTTCCAATACATACATATATATATTTTTTTTTTTTGATAAATGGAAGAAACGTAAAAAAATATTCCAAGTAACTCGTTGGCCCTGCGGCTTCCACATTTGTCTCTTGCCTCTTTTTCCTCTTGCCTCGATATGGATACTCGAGACTAGCAGTTCCTGGGTCTTGTTTTTGCACTTTGATAAATGAACTTGGACAGCCGTTTAATTTGGCTAAAATTGGTAACAGATGTTATACATAATGTGGTGCTAAGAAGGTTTACATTCAATATGGGTGTTTGGCGTGATGGCATTATTTTTTGCATTGAATTTTCGGACAAATTCCGTGATTGAAACATATTTCATTCGGTTTAAATGATCAGCATAGCTGTTGGTTTATTTCTGTGGAGTTTTGTGGGGGATATTTCTTGTATTGAATTATGTACAAAGTTTCTAAAACTAGATGTAACGCATCTTCAGCCACAAGAGCACTGACTAGGCCTTTAAACGGGTATCCAATACATAACAAATGTCTATTCCTGTGCTGGTGGATGGGCGGCGATGTACTCCAGGGCACGGATAATGGCCTCTGGAATTGGTGGTGGAGTCGGTAAATGGGCACCGCTGGGCTGGAAACCATTCTCATCGGCCACATAGGTCACTTCAATGCGCTCGCCTTCGGGGGAGGTGTACGAATAGCTGCCAGTGGCTCCATTGGCATTGCCAGCCTCCTGGGCTTGGATTCCGTTGCTGGTATCGTAGGAGCTGGCATAGTTGCCCTCCGCATCGGCCGGATCGTTCTTCTCGCTCAGGATGGTGGCATCTTTGTCGATGTGGTCTGCGTGGACATATGCCACGAGCACGGCAGCGAGCAGGCAGATCGTCTGAAATATAGTATATGTTCGATTAGTTATGGATTCCTTTCCGTGGCTCTGGGGAGGAGTCTTGGTCTCTGTTTTGGGTCGCCACGATCCGATATACTCACAAGCTTGAACATCTTGTCGGAATTGTCTAATCCACACTGTTTGGGTGATCTTCAGAGGCGGAGGCTTTTATAGCCACCATCGTATCGCATCTCATCGCCAACGCAGCGTTGCCTTTCGGCGTCTGCGTCGACGTCCACGACGGCGTCGCTGTCGTCTCTAATCTGGCTCGGAGACGTGCTGCTTTAAGCCAAATATCAAGCTTAATATGCTTGTATATTTCGAGCGAAGCGCAAAATACCCAACGAATTGAACGAAATTTAACGCAACAAAAAAGCAAATACGAACATGTGGTAGCATTTGAACCCATTCAGAGTGGATGGTCCCACATCTAGCTGATGATGGTAATGGCTGAACCTGAATCGCGGCACTTAATAGTTAATAGTTTCGGTTGGTTTTGAGGTTTCTTGCGATAATGGGCCTGTGCGACATTCACCCGAGAGTAGAGGCGAGGGTGACTTCAGAGACGGGCCTGGGCTACTCGTGCGCGAATAAATTGTATCCAAACCCATTTATCATCCATTTCATTTCGATTTCATTGGCCATTTAGTTTGGGATGCGCGCAGGCGTAGAACCAGTTTGGCTTCATCAAGGAATTCTTAAATCTACCCCCAAAAAACTCAACAAGTTCAACGCATTAGCATACAAATTTGTAGTCCAATAATTAAATTAGGCATCTCGAATAAATTGTCTAGGCCTAAGCGCACTTAGCACCCAGACTAATAAAATGCCCATCAATCGAGGAGCAAGATCAGCCAACATCAGACACCATTCGGCGGAACCAGCTAGCTCAAACAAACCCATCTAAGTCTCTACAAACATCTATTTCATGACGTATCCAGCAGATGGCAACATTCACCAAAATTTGAATTGGTAAAAACACAAAACCGCTCCATATAACATTTTCGCCATTGGATGTGAATACCACAGCAACTTGGGATACTTTATGGATCTATATATTATGATCAGAAGCAACATTCCACTAATTTAAATAGTTATGTGTTCATTATAACTGTTTATGGATCAAATCCGTTCTCATCGACAAGGTAGATCACACGCTGGCTCTGGTGGAAGGCGGGTAAATGTTGTATCAAATACCCAGGATCTGTTTCATTGCCAAAGATCTGTGATTAGAAAATATATCCATAATCTTCTGTCTGTAACCCATTATGTGCTTTTTATATGCATATATATGTATGTATGTATGTATGTACCTCTTTTCTGGACTATACAATTCTATGATCGATTATCATGAAAGGAAGTCAGTTCTGATCAGGTTTATGGGTCAAACAGAGTGTGAGTCGTTTCCTTATTGATCAAACATATTCCCAGCAATTAACACATATTCCAAAAAATGTTTGCTCCGCTAATTTTTAAATAAAACAAAAGGCTGTAGGCGAGACGAGAAGATATTCGTATAAATAAATTTGTTCAGCCTTATCGACTAGTCCAGGGCAATTAATCAAATCGCCTGACTTCAAAGTTGTCAATTAATTAAAGTCATAAATGTAGGGTATCAGATGATCACACATTTCGCACTCGTTCAGTTTGTAGCTGAGCTGAAGACGATGCTCGGCGATGCCGGCGCTCCAGATGACAAACCCCGACCTTGCCCATCTCCATCTCCAACTGCAACTCCGAATCTGAATCCAAATCTAAACGATTTCAACAGCTTTCCACCTGCCACTCATCCGAGGCCCAGGGCGCCTTCAGCAGCAGCACCCATAGACTTCCAATTGAAAGTTGTAACAATGAGGCAGAGTTTGCTCGGAGGGGAATTTCCGACACCTCGTGAATGAGTTGGGACCGCATTAAACAACAATTTTTATTTTTAAGCAATTTAACATTTAGGGGGATATCGTACAAAGACGATGAAGATCACTAAATGCGAAACTGAAACCGAATTAAAGCATACAATATAAATTGTTGGCAAATGACTCATGTATTTTAAAGGCAAAGGCTCGATTATAGTTTCGAGTATTGCCTCCATTATTGGTATATGATAATACAAGTTTTTTGGTTGTGTTTTTTTTGTGTTTTTGGTTTTTTGGCAATTATTGCTACCCCTGCCCTGCTGCCATTGCCATCCCGATTGGATGGATGCGGCCGCGAAACCCGTTTGGGTCCCGGCTGTGAACCCGGCATTCCAAACCCAAGGGTCGCATCCATATAAAAGACGCACTTGAGCTGATCGAATTAAACAGTTGCACTCCAAGCAGCCTCTCCATAACATACGAGTAGCCCTCAACCGAATCAGCTCCATCAATACCATATCCAACATGTACAAATACGTAAGTTACCTTTGGGATGTTCGGGACGGGCGAAGACTCCAGCGCCGGTAACCATGATCTCTGTTCTCTTACAGCTGTTCTGTCTCGCTCTCATCGGTTGCGCCTGCGCCGACAACATCAACAAGGATGCCCAGATCCGAAGCTTCCAGAACGACGCCTCTGATGCGGAGGGCAACTATCAGTTCGCCTACGAGACGAGCAACGGCATCCAGTACCAGGAGGCCGGCAATCCCAATGGAGTGCGCGGTGCCCTGGCCTATGTTTCGCCCGAAGGAGAAAAGATCTCGCTCAGCTACACGGCCGACGAGGAGGGATACCACCCAGTGGGCGACCACTTGCCCACCCCGCCCCCAGTTCCCGCCTATGTGATGCGCGCTCTCGAGTACATTCGTACGCATCCCCCGGTAGCCGTTCAGAAGGACCAGTAATCTGCTGGGAGCCCCATCGACTACCACATATAGCACCGCCAGCGCTACCACCTCTACCACCAGACTCCAAGCTGCGGCCAGTCATTGTTATTTAGAGACATACATTCGTATATTTTTTTTTTTTTGTAGTTATCGTTAATAAATCCCGTCAATAAGGAAAGCAATATCACCTTCGATTTACTGAGTGCAAAAAAGTAAGGCCAAGGCTTTTAATACTCTTGAAAACTAATCGTTTCTATCTTCTGTCTTTTTTGCCATCCTAATTTCTTTCTTAACGGAGTTTTCTGTTTGCCTTGCTTGGTCTTTCTCTCTCTCTCTGTCTCTCTCTCTCTCGTTCAGTTTTTAACGGAGATACTCGTTTAAGTTTCACTCTCTCTTTCTTCTTGCATCACACACTCTCTCAATGTATACAAAGGGCATAGAACAGGGCTATATCAGTTCGACTCTCTTTCGCTCTCGACGGAAAAAGTAAAACTAGCACAGGGAAAGTCCCTTTTCCTACATCGGTCTCTTATATCGTTTAGGTAGAAAATACAATAATCCACCAAACCTTATTCGGTTCACACGATCGTGGGTATTGATTTATTGTGTATCGATTTTCACAGGATTTTTTTCTATTTAATTATGTACAACGTGGTTAAAACTAAGCCACTGACTAGGCCTTCAAACGGGTATATAGTATCCAATCCGTATTTATTCGTTGGACGGATGGGCGGCATTGTACTCCAGAGCACGGAGGATGGCATCTGGAATTGGTGGTGAAACCGGCAGATGGGCACCGGACGGCTGGAATCCATTCTCATCGGCGACATAGGTCAGGACAATATTCTCACCCTCCGGTGAGGTCCAAGAGGCACTACCAGTGGCTCCATTGGCATTGCCAGCCTCCTGGGCCTGGATGCCGTTGCTGGTATCAAAAGAGTAGGCGTAGTTGCCCTCCGCATCGGCCGGATCGTTCTTCTCACTCAGGATGGTGGCATCTTTGTCGATGTTGTCGGCCTGGACATATGCCACAAGGACCACGGCTATCAGGCAGATCGTCTGAAATATATAATCCATTACTTAAAGATTCCTTTTCCTTCCTTTCGGTCTCCCAGTTGGTTAAACGCGTTTCGATATACTCACAAGCTTGAACATCTTGTCGGAATTGTCTAATCCACACTGTTTGGGTGATCTTCAGAGGCGGAGGCTTTTATAGTCACCACCGCATCGGCAGAAATTAAATATGCTTGCATATTTTAAGCAAAGCGCAAAATACCGAATATCGAATGTAGATTTAGTTAGCATTTGAACCTCTTCAATGGGGCTGGCTGTGTTATGTGGACCCACATCTGAACCTGAATCGCGGCACCTAATAGTTGCTAATAGTTTTGATGTTTTTTGTTTGGCTTGTGAAAAAACTAAAACATTGATGACGGTGAGGGTGTCTTCAGAGACGGGCTTGGGCAAGTTTGACGTCATTTTGGGATACAAATTGAAAGGATATTTCTACAGAAATTTTCTTCTACTCTGGGCTCTGGGTGAGTAAAACGTCTTGAAATTTCAATTCAAAATGCATATCAATTGATTGATAATGTTTGATTTTGGAAGTCAGATAAAAATCGGTTCAGTTTTTCCCAGGCTATACTCCGCAAATATTCTTACAGGTGGAAATGATTTATCTTTGAGATATCCATTCCGTTTTTTCTTGCACGTACATATACTTTGCTTTGAAAGTTGTGGACTTATTCCCTTTTTTAAAAATTAATGTAATACCATAAAATACAAAAAATAAAAAAACAACATTTCTCAATTTGCATTATTTATTTGGATCGCTTAAGAGTTATTTGTGAATGGTATAATTATATTCGAACCCGCCGAACTTGTTTCAAAACTTGGCAAATGTTTCTCTGGCCCTCTGGTTGAGAGAGAAGAGTAGGTTGTTACCCGGAAAGAAAATCCCGCCTATTATCAAGTTATCGAAAGCTATCCACATAGAATCGCATTCTAATTCCATCCAGTTTTCAAATTCCGATATCTGAGAATAGACATAAATATTAATCAGACGCGGAGATAAATAAAGATGTTTGCAGATAACAAAAACCCAAAAAAAAATACAGAATTCGTTAGGGTCATTCTATGCGGACATCAAACAAATATCATATTTGGGCTTGGCTTTGTTTGCTCATTTTGGGTGTAAACATAATAAATTATGGGATAGGATAGTGCGGAAGAATCAATGGATGAATTGATTTATACCCCGAGCGGAACGACAGACAAGACATTTGCGCAGTGGAATGGATGGCTTACAAGATCTAGCAACAACTTAGTCTAGGCCTAGTGCTGGATTATATTATGGATTGGATTACTACATGCTATGGTATGATCAGCCTTCTTCTTGGACACAAGTTTCCATGTAGATGTGCATGGGGATGCGGGTGGCAGGAACTTTAGAACACATTGGGCTTCAGCTTGCCGTCCTCCGTGTGGGTGCGAATGTATTCGAGGGATCGCAGGATGTAGTCCGGAGTGGGCGGCGGCTGGGGCAGGTGTCTGCCCACCACATGGAAGCCCAGCTCATCGGCTATGTAGCGCGTTTCGATGTCCTCGCCCTCGGGCGAGGTGTAGCTGTAGATGCCAATGGTCTCCAGGGCAGTGCCCGCCGCCTGGACATCGATGCCATTGCTTGTCTTGAAGGCGTACTTGAAGACTCCCTGCTCGTCCAGCGGCGACACCCGGTAATCCGTGATCTGGGCATCTCGCTCACTGGAGCCCACCAGCCGACGAATGCGGCGTATCCGCACAAGCCTGGCATCTAATTCGGCCCAAAGAAGGGCCAGGCACAACAGAGCCATGATCTGCAGAAACGAAGAGATCATATCAGCAAAAAAAATATCACAGATCGAAGGAGATCGGGAACACAGATGGGGCTCAAGGCCTATGCTTACAAAATATCGCATATTTTCCTTTGTTTTATACTTTCGCACTCGGCATAAAAAAATACACTTTCGGTAGAGTTGAAGCGGATTTCCCCAATCAAATTGATTAATTTCGATATTTAACAGCGATAAAAGATCTGCCACCGATCTCAGTCCGAACGAAAGACGTCTGCGAGGTTCAAAGTTAGCCACCGTACTGCCAATCCGGCGAGCGCGTGAATTCAAATTTATATGAGGAAAACATAGAGGCAAAGCGAAAACGACGAAAATCTAATAAGCATAACCAAATGCCAATAATCGTTGGCTCCATCTTTTGTATCTGTAGCTGTATCTCTTGGGTCTGGGGTCTGTGGATGTAGCTGGGTCTGAATCTGAATCTGGGTCTGAGGATGGGGCTGGGGCTACACAACTATTCTTGCTTGATAACAGGTCACGCTCATTCAGTAAAGTCATTCATTTCCGTTCCTCTCTGAGCCAATCCAATGTCTGTTTATTCATATTTGATGATCCCATACGTCAGCGGTAGTTTCTGCAGACATCTCTGAGTATTCAGATGTGCTAAGTAGCTCGAGTTCTCGCTGATCCGTACCCAATTTGAATTCAAATTTATGATGGCAAGAAGTTCCGATATCGTATTGTTTTGATTATTCTGCTGCGGAAGATGATAAAATTAAGCTAATAAACTCAATGGAATGGCCACCACAAGTTCTTGTTTGGTATTCTTGCATTTCTCTAAGTTTATTTTTGTTTGGTTTTTTTAATTAGGTTTCACTAATTAATCACTAAAAACAAGTTCTACCAACATTTGATTGAAATGAAAGTCAAAATGCACATGTTTGTATGATCGTATGAGAGAACATGCCACCTGGGGTTCCAACACGGAAGATATTTGTGCACCCCCCTCCGGCCTGTTCTAATTTATTCACGTTATTATTATTATTATTTAAAAAAAACAACATAGATTTTTTAAAGCATTTTCTTGTTTAGTTTTGGGTTGAGTTGAATGCAAATGCTGGCCATAAAAATCACAGAAAATGCGATAAAATCACAGAAAATAGGCCATCAAATAATAAGTAGCAAACAAGATGGTTTTAAGATTAACAAGAATATAAAAAGCAATATATTTTACGATCTCTGAGCAGATACAATTGGCGGAAACAGTTCCGTGTCGAATGAAATAACGGCAAGGGTTCTATAGCTCAGAAAAGCCAATCGAAGACTGATTCTTATTCTGATTGAGTCGTTGCTCGAGTTCGTTGCCTGAGTCTTTTGTTTTAGCTCTATAAATGTGAGTTGAGTGTGTGTGTGTGTGTTTTGGTGATGAGTGGCATTAATTATGTTAATTTTCTTAGAACCAACACAATCTAAAAGAACTTCAACATAAGCATAGGTTGTTTATGCTCACATTTACATACATACGAGTATGCATTAATTAATGCTCTCATAGTTCTCAAAAACTATCTAATAGTTCACGCACGTACCTAACCGCTCAGGTGCCAACCAAAGAAGATGATAATGCGAAAGATGAAGAACTGGAAAAGTCAGTTCAGTTTGTCATCAGTTTTCGGTTTTCGGTTTTCTAGTTTTTCGTGTTTTCGGCTATAGTTTCGCAATCGATTCTAAGGCTAAACTATTTGGCGTCGATTTGTGTTACTTAATTAATGTTGTCCGCGAAAAGATCTCAAAAGACGACTTGTTTGACTTGAAGATTTATGTCTGAAAATGAGCAATAGATTATTTTCGGCACACTCTTTCTCTTTATAAATGTGTGCAGCCTCCGGATCTTTAGCTATGTAAATTGTCATAAACGCCGGTGTTGTTTATTAATTAGTTAATAATTTTTAAAGCAAATGACTCTATGCGGCGCTTGTGCTATTCTTCGGAACCACAACGAAAACGAAATAATGCAAATGTCATTAAAATCAACATATATATTCTGATTGATGGACTGATTGATTTTGTTGGCCGACACCTTGAGAGCCTTCAGAGTCGGCAAGTTGTAAGATCGGTCTATGCAAATGCGTGCAAGGTCTAGGTCTGCATAGCATCCATCCAACGCACAGTGGGATGAATCAGCTCCACAATTGTGCTGCTGGGGGAGGCAATTTTCAAGTACTGAAAGCACAAAGGTAATTTCGATCTATCAGGCAGTGCCCTGGTGGTGATAAATGATTGTAAAATAGACCTCTAACATTTTCAGTTTCTCTTTGAATTAAACTTAGCTGCAAACGTGATGGATCTTACCATACCAAATCAAATTAAAATATTTTGATTGGCTTTTTAGTTGAGTGTTGAGTTTCTTCAACCATGACCTTTTCCAGCGAAGCCAAAACGTAGAATTAAATTATAATAAATTACTGATAGCATGCAACAATTTGTCCATATGGAGCCACCGTGTGTGTGTGTGTGTCTGGTTCCCCATCGTCGCCGAACCACTGTGCATAGCTCTGGTTGATATTAGTTTGATATGCAGGCACACCCAATCCAATCCGATCGAATCCAACTACAACAAACCAAAACAACTTCATTGTCAGGCGATAATGGCCTGACCATTAGCACAAATTCAACATAAATCAAGCCCAACGCGATCCTCAAGCCCGTATGGATAGATGCTGCATTGATCGGATCTGCCAATTTATGCATCGGTTCATCATGCTCATGCTCCGTCAGATCTCTTCCTCGAATTCGGTTCTGAGAACTCTTTTTCCAGAGAGCGGCGGTGGCGGGCGACACAATTAGCAAGCTCGAAAGCTTCCTTATGCACCGGACGCACGGCTTTTTTGGCAGTTTCAATCTAACATTCGGGGACAGCAGATCGCGTCGCAGTGGATGTTTGAAACGTATTTAACGGTTAATAATTCGGTTTGTTCTGACTCGGTTTCGGATTCAGGTTTAACTTCAAGATCGAGTCGAGTCGAGTCGAGTCTGTAAAACGATACATCTGGAATATATTTAATTGGGAGATGATGTGGTCGTTTGGCAAGGTTTGTGCGTCGTTTGCGATCCCTGATTACTCAGCCGCTAATCCCATCCCGCCCAGCTTCTGCTGGCCTTCGCAGTTGCATCCACCAGTGCCGCCACCGCCAATGCCGCCGTGGTGTTCGATCGCACCATCTATTACCACAATACGCCGCCCGATGCCGCGGGCCACTATCGATTCGAGTTCCAGACGACCAACGGCATCACCACCAAGGCGGCTGGCAACGAGAATGGGGCCGTGGGCGTAGTCCAATATGTCTCCCTCGAGGGCATACCCGTGACCTTCACGTACGTGGCCGATGCCGATGGGTATCGAGCCGAGGGCGAGCACATTCCCGCCGTGCCGCTGCATGTGCTCCGTCAGCTGGAATACATTCGCACGCATCCAGCGGTGGATGAGCACAGGTCGAGGCGTTGGTAAGGCTAGAAATCGGCCATAAAGATAAATATATATTGACTTTTGAATATCTGTCAATCGCCTGGTGAATCGGAGATAAGCGGAGAACGCCGTTGCACATGAGAAATATTTAAATTTTGTATTTATGTTTATCGTTTTCACATGCAAATGGGACAGACGCACAAACAACAACAAACGAGCAGCACAGCGGCAACAGAATTATACCAAAATATATAGCAAGCAAATAAATATTCTATAAATGTATATAAAATACAATTTTAATTGAGTTGTGGCCCAGAGCGTCTGGAAAGTACAGGTATAGGAAGGAATTCGATGCAGTAAATAACAATCAACGATGCTATTACTATGCGAAGAAACAGCCATAGCATATGGGAAACATCTTGCCAAAAAGTATTCGGGAAATTCTCGGGATGGGCAAACCAAACCAATGGAAAACACTGGGACCACGCTAGCTGCTTGTGAAATATGGCAAGAATGTTCTGGAAAAGTGTCAAAGATTCATTCTTGTCATAGCTTGCCGGAATAATGTTTTGATGCTAATCGCCGCACATCAGGCAAATCAGTCACACTCAAATGTCAGCTTTCTATCAGCGCAGTTTATAGCGACTACCATTCCAAAGACCTTGACTCGACGGTCTCTAAGAACAACTTTCGCTTTTGCGACAATCGAGAAGAAGATTGTGGCATGTCGCATATCACATATCGCCTGTCGCCACTCATTTGCATGTGGGCGCCTAATTAAGGTCGTTGCATACTATTGACCGACTGACTCTTCAAGACCGACCCCCCGACCGCACTTATGTAACCAGACTAATAAACCAAATTGAGTTGACACCGACGATGGCCCCATTTAATGTCAACGAAAACAAGTTGCTGATTGATGCATGGCTCGGAATAATCCCTCCGCCAATCAGTTCCGGCCTTGGGACACCACAGCCTCAAAAGTTCATATTGTAAATGAATGGAATTGTCGGTGAAGCATTTACGGGAGCCATCAAAACGCCACGAATTTTTTAGTGGAAAGAATATCCCATTAGCACACACATCATAAGCAACTATGAATTATTCATAACCGGTTTAGTTTATCTGATCCTCTTTCAACGCAGTCGTTAAACGCTCTAACAGACATTTAAAAGGCACTCCGTTGGAGATCACCACCAATTTGTCACTGGACCACAACTAACCAGCGGAATATTAGTTTTCTACATACATCTACATATGTATATTTATGTACACACTCGTATGTTCGCCGAAATTTTGTTTATAATCGTCCACGTGCCAATCCGGTTGCAAATTCGGTTTCGCGGTTGCTAATCAGTGGCGATTCCAGAGTTAATATCAACTGCTGCAGATTTATGGGTCGGAACGGGCATTCATAAGGCTATAATGACAGTTTCAATGGCTTAAATGCCACCGATAGAAGTTTAGCTTCCACTCGGGTATTAAATCTTATTAATCAACTGCATTCAAATTTAAATATGCATTAGTAGCCAACAGGTGCGGTGGGTTTATAAAGAACGAGTTGAAAGTTTCCCCCATCACAATATAAACTTTCATAGAACCTTACTCAGAGATTCATTCATCCAGAGGCCAATGGCCTGGTTGAACTTGAAAAATACAAACATACATTTATCCATTTGTGTATCTTCAAATTCATGTTGGGGTTACTGGCTGACTTATGGGCTATATATATTCATGGAGACGAACCTGTCAGCATCTCCGCATCATCGTGTTCGAATACCTTATCTAAATCGATTTACATGCATAACAAATTCCACAACTTTGCTTTTGTTTTTACAATAATATATTTCAAGTTTCTTGACATATATATATATATACTTTTATGGGTGTGGGTGTGAGTGTGTGTGTGTGTGTGGGAGAGTGGGGGGGTAAGTAAATATGTATCCAAAGTGGTTTACATGTAACACTCATCTATCATTACGTTTTGATGGGGGAGTGGGGTAGGACTGCAGGAAGCAGTAGCTATTATCAGTGATCAATAAATCATGCCGAGATGTCAGATCTCAATTGTCAATTGGTTTGGTTTTAATCGATTTTATTGTGTACTGTTTAATTGTATTTGTGTTGTGGGGTGTATGCATACTTTGTTAAAATAATTCAAGTATCTCACATAGTAATCTAGTATGTTTATACATTTATACTTTTTTCCACCGTATGTAGCTTAGTTTTTCTATAATTAAACTTATCCTACAACACCTTCCAAGTCCGAGACATGAACGCGTAGAGCATACCAATCGAATTCGATTTCGAATGCCAATGGGATCTGAGATGAGATCTCTGGCAGCGGAGAAGCAGAGTGCGAAATGGAAAACGGAAACGGGCTGAACGAACAATTTGATTGATTGATTTAATTATTTAGATTAGTATTCCTGGTTTTTCCTGCTCGCCCCGGACGCACGCAAGGGCAGGGTCCAATCAGACAGGAGGGAGAATAAGAAGTTGTATAGTTTACTGGAGTGTAAATACATATGCTAAATGTAAATATGTTTTATAGGTGTGGTTCGTATGTGTGTTTCTGTCATCTGTAAAATAGGGTTTTGGTTAGACATGTTGGATGTGTATGTCTCGCTATTCTGTGTGCGAAAGTCCTCCAGAGACCTCGAGCCGTTCAATAAACATTCTATGTGCCCTTACAGCGTGTGAATCTGTTAAGTCCTGCAAGAGATCATACGTAATCATTAGTAAAATCACAGATGCGATTATCATGAATCCGCTTACCAGTCCTCATCGCATGCCAGAATTCTGAAGTTTTCACGGCCCCGCCTCTAGAGCCAACCCTAGACTGTTTTTGCCTCCGAGAATTCCTCCAGGCCAAAGAAGCTGCCGCCGGAGGCTCCGCCAGTGCCGCTCGCCGTACTTGTGGCCACCACAGTGGTGGATGCAACGCTAGTGGCTTCGGATACTTGCACTTCCTCGCCGGCCGATGTATCGGCTGCTTCCTTGTGGTCGGGACTGTCACCGCCGGCGCCCTGCTGTGCAGCCTCCAACACTTGCTGCTGCACGTGGACAATGGGCTGGCCATCTTCGGTGTAGGACACGGAAACGGGTATGCGAGTACCATCCTCGCTGATGACATGAGCGCCTTCCTCTCCATCCTGTCCCTGCTGGATGATCAATTGACCCTCGGAATTCAGTAGAGAGGCGTCTATCAGCTGCTGTTCATTATTATCGCCATGGACCAGAACCATCTGACCACTGCCGTCGTTCATCATTTGCAGGGTTTCGCCCTCTAGGCCCTCGCCGGACTGCAATACTCCAACGCTCTGCAGCAACTGCTGGATCTGCTCGGGATCCTGGACAATTATCTGGTTTCCGTCGGCATCGGTCAAAATGTGGTTGTCCAGCTGCAACAAATGGCCGTTCTCGTTGACAATGAACTTAATCTGGCTTCCATCCACCTGCGCCTGCATGGCCTCGTCCAGCTCCATGGCCACCTGCTGCTCCCCTCCAGAGCCTTCGCCGGCCTCTCCCTCGCCCTCTGCAGAGGCAGCATGCTCGCCATCCGCCGATTCACTGGCTTCCGTGGTGACCGCAGCAGTCTCCGACTCGGTGGTGGGCGTGTCTGTGGCTTCCCGTTTCTCTGCGGCCTCTCCTTCCTCAGAGGGATGGGCTTCATCTGAGCCAGCAGCCCCCTTCTCCTTTGCGCTCTCCTCTGTTTTTGTCTTTTCGCTGGCTTTACCACCAGACTTTCCCTCTTCGGGGTTTTCTTCTGCGGCGGCTGCCTCGTTGTCATCATCGAGGCTGGGCATGGAAACGGGAGCAGCGGCATGGGACTTGCCGTCAGCCTTGGAGGCGTTGGCGCCACTGTTGGCCTTGGCGTCAACGCTGCTCTGGGATTGGGATTCGTCTTCGGCCTGGTCTAGATTAGGCATATCAATGGGCATACTAGGGGCACTGGCATTCGCAGAGTCCTGCGAATGGTCACCATCCGGCTGAGGGATGGTTATGTTGAAGGTGATGCCACCGCTTCCCTCCTGGGAGGTGATGACCATTTCCCCGGTCTTGCTGGTCTTCGGGGCCTCACCGCTCTCGTTCTTGTCCGAGTGAAGCTTCTCAAATAGGCTCTCAATATCGGCCTCGGCGTTCTGCTCGCTTCCATCATCGGCCTTGCCGCCGCTATCGCCTGGCTCGTCGCTAAGCAAAGCGGTGGCAGCCGAATTGAGGGCCGCGGCTCCTCCAGCTCCGGGTCCCTTCTTGTCCCGTCTGTGGGTCTCCATATGATGATTGTAGTATGTCTCCTGGATGAAGGTTAGCGAGCAGATGCTGCAGGAGAAGAATCGAATGTTGTTTTCCCCCTCGCCGCCGGCAGCAGATCCCGAGGCTGGCACGCTGTCGCTCAATGCCTCATCGATGGTTTCCTGGAGCAGCTTTTGAGTGTTCAGGTTGGGGCTGCTGACAGCGGCCACCTTTGAGGACCCGCCACCGCCCTGATTCTGATGGACATCAAAGTGCTTCACGAGCAGCTCACGCTTGGGGAAGGTCATCGAGCAAGTACCGCATTTAAAATAATTTGTCTGATGCTGCTTGGCATGGGTAGTGGCAGCCTCACGCGTCTCGAATCGCTGCGAGCACAGTCGGCACTTGAACGGCTTCGGTTTGACATGCTTGCGCATATGCTCGTCGAAGACTCCCTTATCTGTGGACTTGAACTGGCAATGATTGCATGTGTACAGAGCAGCGCCGGTCACGCCCTGGCTCTCGGAGGCAGCGGCGGCAGCAGCAGCAGCCGCTGCAGCGGTCACAGGTGCAGCAGCTGCTGGTATGGTTGTGGTGCTAGTGACCAGGACATTGGTGGCATGATTGGTCTCCATGTGCTTGCGCAGGCTGGTCTCGTTCACGAAATTGATATGGCACATGGCACAAGTATTGTCCATGGCTGTGCTATGGTCACGCACCATATGCTGCTTCATGGCCCCAAAATGGGGGAAGATCTTGCGGCATGTCTTGCACTGGAAAGTCTGCTGTTTGCAGGTCTCAAAGTGAGTGTTGAATAGCCTCATGTCAGAGGTCTTGTAGTCGCACGAGGTGCACTTGTAGATCTTAGTGGCCTTCCGCTGAACCTGCGTCTGTGTGCCTGGGGTGCTGCTCAGCGACGTGATGGGTGCCAGTTTTGGCTGACCTGGAGGAAGGAGTAGGATAATGAGTATTATGTAAGGTTAAAAACTGAAACTACAGATTCAAGAAATAGCTTACCTGTCGTTCCCTGGACAATCTTGCGCGGTCGTAACTGATCCCCGCCAGGACTCTCTTCCAGCGAACGGGTGGCACCGCCAGCTGCCAGCTTTTGCATCTTTAGAGGCGGACTGGAGTCCCCACCGGAAGCATCATCGTTGATTGCATACTTTTTATTCAGCAAACTAATCAAATTGGTCTTCACACGCTCCACGTCGTTTTCCAAGCGGTCGTAGTAGTTCACCAGGTTTGTGCATCGCGAGCAGACAAAGTCCTCGCCGCAGACAATCACCAAGAAGCCCTCGCCGACGAGCTGAGCCAATTTATTGGGAAACTTGGTGGCCGTGTGAGTGGTACACATCTCGGCGAGGGCCGTCTGGGCATCGCATCGTTCGTCGCAAATGTAGCACCGCATGGACTGGCCACCCGCATCAGCATCGCTTGCAGCTTGCTGGGCTGCAGTTGTGCCCACAGCGCTATTGCCGCCACCGCTGGATGCAACGGCCACGCCTCCACCCCCTGAGCCTACGAGGCGCGTTGTCTTTAGAATACGCGGTTGGCTGGGACCAGTTACGGTGACGGCTCCGCTGTTGAGCAAATTGTTAAATTTGCGATAGGTGACCGGATTCAGTTGATTGTTCATTGTGTGGGACACAATTGTCTGCCGTGGCCGTATTGGAGTCTTTAAAATTTGAGCGCAACACGCGCAACTGCAAGCCGCTTCTTTTTTATTATTCGGCGATTACGACGAACGGCGATATTCAGCACTGCGCTAATGTGTCTGTCTTGTCGATACTTAAAACGTACTGCTTGTTTTTATTTTTTCTGCAGCCACAATACAATTGTGCACCAGGAACAAAAATATTTTTGGATTAAATTCTTGTTCTCACTGTCGCGGCGTCACTTTGACTGTACTAAAGACTCGGTGCTGTATTTTTTAGGGTTAAAAATGCGTATGTTTTCTTCAGCACTGCTCGCTGACTAGCTAGTTGTCTCGCTCTCAAGCAGGCACGCTGCCCTGGCGGTGGGTAGTTGTGCACTATTGTTGTCTCGCTTATGTTATACGGAAATGGCGGCTTGCCTAGGCGGTCAGCCACGTTCAGACAAAGAAAAAGTATGACAGTGTTGCAGTTCGGTATTAATTCTATATCTTACTATAGCAGAAATAGGTAAAACAAAAGAATTCTGTATTCCTTTTTCCAAAAGTAATCAGATATTACTAGTCAAGAATAGATTTATGTGCATTTGCGGTATTTTTCTGAGACATGTCGTGTACGTCATGCATGTACGAGCCTTACTAGTGCTCAGACCACTCGCAAGGGGTCGCCTTTGCGCGGTTCTTTTAAAAATTCGAATATCTGCGACAGAACTAATTTAAACACTTAAGCAGTGAGGCAAGCATCGCATTCCGCTCAGGCAACAACAACCATATAACCAACGATAACGAAGGTACTACATCACTAATTGGCTAAAACGGAATACCGATAAGATATTTCGCTATGCCATTGCTGTTTTTAGCCTTTCGATTTAGCTGAATTCGTGTTGAACTTGTTCCATACAGCACAGCGCAAATGCTTGCTCATTTTTGGGGGTGATGGTGCGGGCAGAGAAGACAGTTGCTTATCAGCACCGATAATTTTTTATTTACCATCCGAACAAGCCAAATGCCGAACAAAAGTAAAGGTTGATATGTATTTTGTATCTGAACGGACTTCGCTTTTCAGTCGGCGAACGAAACGAAAAGCGAACGGATATCAGCGAAAAAATCGAACCGAAATAAAAGCCTTGCCTTACCGGATACTTTACTGGCCCATTGGAATTCAAATACCATACCATTGTTGCTTGTAATCAAAGCGAGCACTATCGCACTATTTGCGAATTGCAAAAGCGGCGCAAAATTAATTGGCTTGGCGCATGTTACGGGCCATTCAGTTGTCCAACGATCGTCGCCGCGAATCACATACAAAAGCGCACTCAACCCGATCCGAACCAAGCTCGGGGGCGTGAGAATCGAACAACAGTGTCTACAGAATGTATCCGCCCAGCATCAAGAATTTTCCCTCCCTCAAGACGGCCGTTGTATGGGCCAGTGTTCTCGGAGTGGTATGTAATCAACGTGTATTGCTATAGTTGCTGTCATAAATATGTTGCAGGAGTGGGTATTGTATGTGGTGTATGCGGCGACCCCATTCACATTGATAAGCCCATAGACCGGAGATATTGAATACGACATTGGAGTACAAGCGAACCACTAACTGAAATTAGCTTCCCTGCTATCGCGCTCCACTCTCCACTCTACACACTCTCAGGGCACTCCACCTGATCAGTTTTGTTAATCATGATATAATCAGAATTGACTCATACAATGGGAACGATCCACAATTCACAGATAACCGTTAACCGTTAACAGTACCCTTTTGACGTGTGTAAACAAACAAACTAGAGGGTTCTCTTTCATATCGACCCATCAGCTTGGCAATGTCTATAGCCGTCTCTCTCCTTTTCATGTATTTTTTGCAGTTGCAGTCCATCATCTGGATAGGATTGACCATCACAGCAATATGCGCCTACAACTGTGTCCTCTATATAACTGATGACTTCAACTTTGGCACCATGATCAAGACGGTCTTCTTCGATTTGTACTTCAAGGGGAGCTGTAAAATGAGTACTGCCGACTATCAGAACTACGATTATGGCATTCTGAAGACGGTCGAAACCGTATTCGATCCATCGCAGGTATTAATTTGGGACTGCTTCTACCTGGGCTTATCCGTCTGCTGGCTCATCGTTTCGATTGTGCTCTTACTATGTGAGTATGCGTCTGCGAACAAGTTTAAACGAAAATTTAATGCATATAGAAATGGTAGTAGCACAGGGCTTTTATGCTATGATTCACTCAATGAAGAAATCTAGGAATTTTATTTTATCAAGCTGCTAAGTTGTAAGATAAAACAAAATGAAAAGCACAGCTCTATAACGATTAGATAATTTTCATTGATGATTGTTACCAGCAAATATATACCTCATGATGTACCTACTCGTATGACTTTCAGGTGTACGCAAAGATAATGCCAAACTATCCCTGATCGCCATCGCACACTGGGCCTTCTTTGTGGCCGTCATCTGCTGCATGGATGTGGCCTCTGGCGTGATCTTTGGCATTGACTACGGCCGCTTCCAGGCGACAGCCCTGACCTACAATGCCAACACCATCAACGCTGAGCCCGTCCTGCCAATGGCATCCACCCTGATGGCCGGCGGTGTGGCGGCCATTTCGATGATGATCATATCCTTCAAGGGTTTCATTCTGTGGTTCATCAACGTTGGACTGCTCATCTACCTCTCGATGCGAGCCACGCGCATTGTCACTGATAAGGATAGTGAGGTAAGATTCCTAAGGGGAAATTTAAGGGGGAGATGACTTCATCGGACACTTATGCTGACATTATCAATTCCGACATTATACATGTTGGACAGCTAGTAAGCCCAAGAGAGCTATGGGCACGGTGTTGTGGTGTTGGCTCTCCAAAAATACAATAATTCGACAACGCAGAAAGAGAAATTCCTTCAGCAGCGACTACGAAACGACTAAACATAGCTGTGGCCTATAGTGGTAACCACTGATAAGCCATGAATACGGGTAGTCGCGTCTCGATAATGTTTACATTATCTTTCCAAGATTCGTCGAAGTTGATTGTAAACCAAAGTACACATGGGTGCAATATACGATAAGGGGGGTCCTTTCAGGATCATTTTTTAAAGTAATCTTTGATTTTCCTCTCCACAGGATACTTTGTTCAATCCCCGCAAGGATTCCAATGATATTCTGACCACCCGGACCCCCATTCGTGCCTACGAAGAAGAAAAGTAAGTGGCGAAAACCCCCATTAATTGGGCTACCCTTTAATGCTCGACCTTTTGTCCACCCACAGAGTAGAATTTCAGGCCTACAACAATGCAGGTTACATGCCGGATAATCGATCATCGGCCGAAACCATTGAGGTGAACGAGCAGGCAATCGTTCGAGCGGCTCATATGTCGCTCGATGCCAATCTTATGGATCGCCGGTTCCGCGACATCAATGCCTTCCAACAGTACCCAGCTCCGAATCCGCAGGACAGCCGTCCTCTGCGACAGACTTCGCTAGTGCCCAGGCAGGAGACTGTGGTTGTGGCCACGTCCGGCTTCCCCATGCCGGACTACACCCCACAGCCGAGTCCGAGTGGCATTCTGCGTCATCCCCAGTATTAGGCGGAGCGAGCGGCGCCAACACCAAGAAAACAAAGTACCCAAAAGCTAACTTGCATAATATAATTCTCAAATAATAGCATACCCCCTAAAAGCCGCCCTAGTATGAGTAGTGCCCGCAAATGAAATGAAAGAAAATCCGCTAAAATTTAGTTAAAATTTGAATCAGTATGTTTTGTGCATGTTATTTTTTTTTATTTTTTATTTATTTGCCTCCTAATAACAATATAAGTGTGCAGTTGTAAATACATACATATATAATATACAATGAAGTGTTATATAGTTATAGCTGTTTGCAAAGTCGGTGGAATTTAATTTGTTTATAATGCTTATTTCTGATAAGGATTAGGTCGCCGATGTTCTGATTGAAGACGGCCCCCAGCAACGTTTTAATTGCGACGCGATCATCACGGAACTTCGAACTGACAAAAATAGAATTGAACAACAAGCATGCTAATTGTTATCTAATGATTACCTAAGAACAAATCATATTTCAAATAGTTTTATTTCAAAAGCGCGCCTAAGACTTAGTTGATTTCGGCAGCTATCGATATCAGGTTCGACGCGTTTTGGCATTACCTAGAATATTAACTGTTTTTGGCGATTAACCCATTGTCGACAAGGTGGGTATTAAAAAATTCCCATGAAACAGGAAGTTTTAGCGCATTTCAGGTAAAAGATATCGTGCTTTTTTGTAATTAAAGAAATCCTTGTTCTTTAATTGAAAGGATCTACAATAATAATTCACAAACAGTATTATTTTCCACGATTATACTCAAGTTGTTCACCTGTGTTAATATAGGGGGCTGACGTGGGTTAACTTCGTTTTTTCATCTTTCGGGTCAAAAAGTTCATTTAAAATTGTTCGTTTCGGTGATAAGCCGGAAAAGATTCGACTTTCAACAGTAGAGCTAGGCGTAAAACGTAACTCGGGCTTGTGTATTTTATATTTTACTCATTTGTCAGTGAAACACACCAGAGAACGGATCGGATCTCAACAAAACCGGCAGTCGACATAGCAAACTTTTTTTTTTTGACTCGATAAAATGGTTTTCATAACAAAATTCGCGCGGATTGGTGTCCAGGCGGCCCGCCAGCTGCGTGCCGCGCCCCTGGTTACATCTCAGTGGCGTAGTTTCCACATAACCAGCATGCTGGACAAAGGTAAGGACTTTATGCAATAACAAATACAGTTGGCGAGTCACTGTGCAGATACAACTGGTAACGTTACATGTGCGCTTTGCATCCCACAGAACGCCGCTACACAGACAAGCACGAATGGGTTGAGCTCCTGGACGCCAACAAGGCCATCGTTGGCATCTCCAGCTATGCCCAGGAGGCATTGGGCGACGTGGTCTTTGCCCAGCTGCCGGAGCCAGGAACAGATCTTAGCCAGGACGACGAATGCGGTGCCCTGGAGAGTGTGAAGGCTGCCAGCGAAGTGTATTCGCCCGTGAGCGGCAAGGTGACCGAGAAGAATGCCGAAGTAGAGGACACGCCGGCTCTGGTCAACAGCAGCTGCTATGACAAAGGTGGGGAATTAACATTAGAGTATTCTGAAATCATTTAAACATCATCTTCAATCTTTTTTCTCATAGGCTGGCTCTTTAAGGTGGATCTGAAGAATCCCACTGAATATGAGAAACTTATGACTGAAGAACAATACAGCGCATTTGTGAAAAGCAGCGGTGAACACTAGACAAGAAACACTAGGCACGAAAACTGCCCCCAACACTTCAGACTAGCCTAAATACACAACGTTCACGCATTTGTTATCTCTCGCACACACCAAAAACTCACCCCGAAACTCATCCACACATCATGGGCCCACGTTGTTGTATCGCTTGAAACTTGTTACGAATAAGAATCGACATTAAAGCCAAAAATAATATTTCAAAAGGGCAATCGCCGTCTCTGGTATTGACCTGCGGCAGCCAATGTCTGCTCCCCCATGGAAACCTAGCGATAAGACTTAAGAGAAGGTGTCGGGAATCGCTCAGAGATAACGATTGAGTGAAACCCAGAGAGGAAGTGAGTCAAAGAGAGCCTAAATGTATCACTCGAAACTCGACTCCATTGAGATCAGCTTTGTGCGGCGTGGTATGCACAACGGAATCAGCCGCGTCGCGTCGCTTGTAGAATGCCCTGTTGCCGAGACGACCGATGGCACACGCCAATCGTCAGAGTTCAAGTGTTCCCGCCATCACCTGATTAATGTGCAGCTAGGCTAGGAGCCGTGGCCGGGAACGCGCAGCGCACACACCTACTTCTCTGGAAAGTTACGCCGTGATTCCGATAAGGATCGACGACGATGGTGATGTGATGGTGTCTGTCAGACCATAGTGGGGATGGATGCTGATAAGCGCCCCATTCTGCTCTATCTGTTTGAACTTGAAAAACTTTTTTAAAGCTTTCCTCTCGCCAAAGCTCGAAGCGAATGCAAAAAGCTTCGTTGTGGCGCGACCAAGCAGTCATTCCGTTATTTAAACTCATTCCGTGCGGTGCGAGAAAGCGCGTGCTGCTCGAGAACCAGTCCGCAATAACAATAAACACACAAAACACACAGACCACAGCTCCGATAGCTCCTGATGAGCAAAGGATAATCAAAGGAATTGCAACAGCAAACAAAAACAAACAAAAGGAATCAAATAAATTCTGTCACAAAATAAAACAAAACATAGACAAAATGCCAGCGGAAAAATCAATATACGATCCGAATCCGGCCATCAGCCAAAACGCTTACATATCCAGCTTCGAGGAGTACAAGAAGTTCTACCAGGAGTCCCTCGACAATCCTGCAGAGTTCTGGTCCCGTGTGGCCAAGCAGTTCCACTGGGAGACGCCCGCCGATCAGGAAAAGTTTCTGCAATACAACTTCAACATCTCCAAGGGACCCATTTACATTAAGTGGATGGAGGGTGCCTCGACCAATATCTGCTACAATCTCCTCGATCGCAACGTCCGCAACGGATTGGGCGACCAGATCGCCTACTATTGGTAAGTCCAAAGCTGTACTGTACTGTCCTTTCCCACTTTCCCATTCGGTTGCGTAGGTCGCATGAAAACAAAAGTTCCAGGGGACACGTTCTGAAAAGGACAACAGTATTGATTTTTCTCTTGTGTGGTTACGAAACTCTCGCCTCGTGACGTAGATGGGTACGTGAATATCTAGGTGATTTACTGCGCAGGCACCAAACAGACAGAACAGATGTTTCCAGCTCGCTCTTTTTGGTTTTTCCTGGAGGCCAAGGACACGGAATTACTGCCATTGATTTTGGCAGGTAAAGGAGCTTTTTTATTTTGAGTATTTCTGTTTTGATTGCTCTCAATTGTAATTGGTTTGGTAAATGATTTGCATGCCAAATGTGACATCGACACAAATTACTTTTAATTAAATCAATTTTGGATGCTTCACCGAAACTACCACCCGTACAAAACTACCTTTGGAGCGCAGCACTTTGGGTCAATGTCAGGGCCGTTTCTCAATACGATACGTCCCTGACTTGCTTGATCTCCGATTCAATACTACGGTGCGACCTGCCTAAGACAGTTTGTGTTTATTATATTTGACTCTATATTTGTTTTCTGTGTGTGGCAAACACACGCCTTGCAAATACTCGACGAAAAGCAAACAAACAATAGCAAATATAATATATGTAGGTATTCTCCAGTACTAGAACGAACCCCAGTTTGAAGTGCGAATCTATTTTTAATCAAAATATTGTTCAGATGGCCCTTCCCTGATTAGGATGGTAAAAGTGCAGCACGGAACATTGCCATCTTGAGGGGCATCTCACAACGCAATAGCCCCCGGAATGAGTACTTTGTTTTGGTTTATGCCTCAGAGATTTGGTTTTTTTTTTTGTGCAGCCCAAAGTTCATCATAATCACCGCGAGCAGTTCGTCAGAAAAAAAAAACAATAAGTAATGTTTAACAAATGTTAATGCTAATGAGCTTATCTCGGGGGTTATCACCGACACAGGGTTCGGACAGTATAGAGGGCTCGCGTGCCCGGCGAAATGCAAATGAAAGTCAGGTAATTGAAAGGCAATAACAAGGTCATTAGTAGGTTCCCATCCTATCCCATATGGCTGGAGTTTACGTATATATTATATATGTATGTAAGATCCAACTACTCATCACTATTGGGTTCTCTTTTCAATTCTTTCATATAAACTATTTAATTTCGTGGCACAATCAGAGCTCTGCCCTCGCTTCCCTTTTGATAAGATAAAATAGAATAAAACTGAAATAAAAGCTGGCGCGTAATGAGCAATAATTAGCGCTTTTCGAACGGAATGTCCCAGATAATTTTGTTGCAAACCAAAGCCAAAGAAAAACAAAACAACATCTTAAACTTTTTATTTGGCCCACATTTTTTATTGAAAGATAGGAACGGTGCCACATATACATACATATGTACATATGTATGAATGGAGTGGTTCCAAAACTGATGCATACAAACGCTTTTCAATCGAAAAAAAAAAACCAACAAAAAATTAAATACACGAAATCCTAACACGAGCGAAAGCTGGAGGGCGGCATTATGTAAGCGATTTGACAATGTGCGCAAATTGTTTATTCAAATTGATTTGAGCGCGTCTATCGCCGCGCTAAAATTGCGTTGATCGCTTTGCGGGTTTTGTGTGTCAGGTGGAGGGGTGTGTGGTATGTGGTGTCTGGGCAAAAGGTGGTGCAAATTGTGGGAAATACTTTTAGAATGCAGACAGACGCTTTGTCATTAACAGACAGACAGCCAGTAGTTAATGTCAGCTAACTCACAGTTTGAACAGCCCTAACAGTTTGAGTAGCACTGTGCCTGTGCGTGTGTGCTGCTGAAGAATCACGCGATCACATCGCCTGATTACTCACAACCAATTAGAGAGCGATTTTACGCACACACAGGCAGAGGCGGGCCAGCAGAAGAACCAGAGAAAGATAGAGGGCATACAAGAACCTGGCATATACCTGTGGTTTTTTTTCGGGGGAGAAAAATAACCGTATAAATGCTTTCTTCTTTTTGTGTTATCATTTTTGCAGTTTTTTTGATTATGTAACGCAGGCGCTTATGTGTTCATATGCTAATGAAACACTCCCAAAGTGTAAAGGTAGCGGCAACATACGATCATTACTGTAAAACTGTAGGGCCGGCTAGACGGCGCGACGCTCCGATAGGGAAAGACAGAGAAGGTAGAGCGAGAAAGAGAGGGAGAGAAACGAAAACATTCGATGCGATTTGTTCGACACGCGAATCAACAGCTGTTGCTGCTACTTAGATAAGTCTGTGTTGTAGTTGTAGTTTTGGCTTTTGTTTTTTTTTTCCATTATTAACAAAAAAGGGAATCGCAGCTGGTGCTTGAACAGTTCACGATCAAATTATAAATTATAACCGATAAAAGATCGGACTATTTATAAAAGAACGTTTTAAAGCGGAGACTACCTTGCTTAGCAACTGAAGGACATGCTTTAGTGTTACCAATCAAGAATATACTCTCTAAGCAGCTTTGTGTGGTCGGCAATACTTCCTTTTCTAGTGGCTGCAAACAGATGATTATTATCATAATACCCTCTACAAGGTTATAATAATCTTTAAAAAGAAACTCTATCTCTGGTTCTAGTTATATTTGTTGCCATTCCTTTTCTTCGAATATAATTTTTGATTTCTGATAAGAGCAGTACCGCCACGCGTCTGTCTGTGATCAAGCGGTCAACGAGACGAGGCGAACATGAGGTGTTTCCAAGGCGGTATGGAAAATTTCTTGTCTGCCGATGGGTCTGTGAGATTAGGGACTGGCCAGGCCGTTGAGTGGGTCGATTACGCCTCCAAATTGGAAATTAATACACTTGAATTGACTGGGATTGCGATACGCGTCGCGCCACTATTTCCTCCACTAAACAAAATTAGTCATAACAGTGGCACGCACATAAATAGTGATGTTTGATAAGCATTATAGGATGTCCGTTCTCAATAGAAGAAGATTTTAAGGTTAACTTGGAAAGAGCTTTTGTACGAAAAACGTTATTTCCGATGTGTGTGTCGTTTATTTTGGACACCTCTTACTAATTGACAAGTACGAGTATATGTTGTATAAACAAGTATTTCGTTCAAGTGGAATAACATTTCATGAGTATTGGCCAACTCACAGCCCCACCTGACCAATCAAACCATCCCTCCATCCCTCTACCCCCACAATACTGCAAAGAAACGAACTTTGGTCGCCGCCGATTAGTCAGGGTATCCGAAATAACCCTGTGGAGACGTCACGATCTGTTCTGTGCTGCGCTGTGCTGCGTTCTTCCTGCTTTCTTTTTGTCGCATATATAAAATTACTAACCGTTTTATAGACGGCTAATTCTTATCGGGTGACGGACACTACCCAATGATTTATACGAGTGCTCCCTTCAGTCCATAAGTAAATAATGATTGCATTGTGTCTACACCTGTGGATTTTTCAGTTTAGACAACGTTTACGATTGTTTTTGTTGTTGTTGAACAAATCTCCCCCACGCCACGCCTTGACCTCCAAATGTTCTAGTGTAATTCGCTTTCTCTATTAGAATTGTGTGGTGCCCATTGCGTGTTGTCCGTCAGCAGATCGGATAGCGTTTATATCCGTTTTGGCCGCTGAAATCATACACGATCTAAACGGTCACGATTTCTGTATACCCGTGGAAGCTCTCCAACCTTTGAAAATCCAACATTTCATGTTACTTTCATTCGTTTAATTGTAACAATTATACTGTTTAGCACACTCACAGAAAATGTCTTATAAATTAGCCAAATTAGAGAGTTTTTAGATGCTCTGAACTGTGATATATGTATGTATGGAAACCCCTTCGACCCCTTTCAGTGATGGTATATTTTTCTGTTGCCAAGTTCCGAACAAAAAGCGAAAGACTCGCA